AGGAGACAAACCCATTCCCGGTATGTGGCGGGCCACATGGGGAGGGTTGGGGTTGACGTGGCAACAAGGGCGGGGTTGGGGCTGACGTGGCGGTTTCGAAGGGAACACGGGAGCGGCGCGTGACGAGGCGACGCGTATCAGGTGGGTGGGGGGTGACGTGGCATGGGGTGGGAGGGTGTGACGTGGCACGTGGGGCTGGTTGTTGGTGGACGTGGCGGATGCAGGAGGGTGTGACGTGGCACGTGGGGCTGGTTGGTGGACGTGGCGGACAAGGAGGGTGTGACGTGGCACGTGGGGCTGGTTGGTGGACGTGGCGGATGCAGGAGGGTGTGACGTGGCGGAAGGTGAGGGTGGGGGATGACGTGACAGATGCAGGTGGGTGTGACGTGGCGGAAGGTGAGGGTTGGGGATGACGTGGCACCCTAAAAGGGTACACGTGAGCGGCGCATGACGAAGCGAGGCGTCTCAGGTGGGTGGGGGGTGACGTGGCTCTTGGTGGGGGGTGTGACGTGGCAAGTAGGGCGGGTTGTTGGCGGATGCAAAAGGGTGTGACGTGGCAGAATGTGAGGGTTGGGGCTGACGTGGCGGTTTGGAATGGTACACGGGAGCGGCGCGTGACGAGGCGACGCGTGTCAGGTGGGTGGGGGGTGACGTGGCATGGGGTGGGAGGGTGTGACGTGGCACGTGGGCCTGGTTGTTGGTGGACGTGGCGGATGCAGGAGGGTGTGACGTGGCACGTGGGGCTGGTTGGTGGACGTGGCGGACAAGGAGGGTGTGACGTGGCGGAAGGTGAGGGTTGGGGATGACGTGGCGGATGCAGGTGGGTGTGACGTGGCGGAAGGTGAGGGTTGGGGATGACGTGGCGGTTAGAAATGGTACACGTGACCACTGCGCATGACGAAGCGAGGCGTGTCAGGTGGGTGGGGGGTGACGTGGCTTGTGGTAGGGGGGTGTGACGTGGCAAGTGGGCCGGGTTGTTGGTGGACGTGTCGGATGGCGCAGGGTGTGACGTGGCAAGTTCAAACAGTGTTGCTAGTCACCATCCCATGGTCACGCGGCCACCCTCATAACTGCTGGTTTCTCTCTTCCATGTCGTGTTGTATACCTTACACCCCTGCGCAGAACAAAGCCTACTTAGTGTGCTCTCAGCTCATGTTTCTGAACCCGCCGGAGAAAATACAGTACTACCCTGCACCGGAGGAAGTGTTCGAAGCGTTCTCTGTCCACTTGTCTGCAGAAGGGCTCGAGGCAATGAAGCTGCTGTGGTTGCACAATGACAAGTCAACCATGGGAGTCTTCAACCACCAGCTGTCCTCAACAAGGTCAACTATCAACTCCACCCTCAGGCCAGCAGCATACACCGGCATGGGCCTTGCCGATTACAGCCATCTCGTGGATAGCCTGCCCACTGAGCTACACCCAACGACCTGGTTCGACGACGATCAACTCCTAGCCGAGTACAGAGATGGTATGTGCAGTGCAACTCGAAAACACAATATGCCCTACCATATGCCCCTTGGCAGCTACATATCACCGTGCGATGTGGCTCACCCTGACTCTCATCCCCCCATTTGATTTCTCTACAAAACCCTTTCCAACCCATACCCTCCCTGCCAATAAGCAGAACAGTGGGCCCTCAACTGGCACTTTGACAAGGCCACCGGGACACCCTTCAGCAACCCCTTGTTCGCTTATGCGTTCAAGCTCTCCTTCAAGAGGGGCGGGGCGGTGTTCACCAAGTTCAAGAGCCGCATGGTGGCATGGGGCCTGTTTTCGGTAAGGATGTAGATATGTGTTTGTACCCCCATGCCTCATCCCCTTAACCCCTTGCCTGTACTTCAGCTAAAACCCTGGTCGATTAGGCCTTTGCAGTTACGTAGATAGTGACGACTGCATCACCGCTTTCAGTTGCCTCATTTACCCGTAACCTACCCTCCTCATAAACCATCCACCCAACCCTACACCACATTGCAGATCGAATGGCCCCTTCTGCAGGATAAGCGTCGCAAGCGAATCAGTAGCCAGCCGGAGCAGAACAGGCCAGACTACCAGGAGTGGTGCGAAAAGGTCAAACAGATGATCCATTTTGCTGTCGTGGAGCGGAGGATCCCCCACGATCCGGCTATGGGTGCGTTCGTCTTTCCGAACAAGTTCCTCATCGACGACGGCGACCTTGGAGATGTCGTCCTTGCCCACCGGGCGCTTTCAAGGCCCGCCAGTGCGTAGGCTATTTGACCTGGTGCTAAGACTGCTTGTTGCTAGAATGCTGAATAATGGTTCTTGTAAACCGCAATAATAAATGCAATTTTGAAATCCTCAATATCCAAAATGAACAAAAACAGAATTTAGTTTTGAATAATTTGGTCACGAATTTGCAACAAAACGGATTGCGCCCGAATGTCATCCGGAAAAGCTCGCGTGCCAAATTGGAACTTGAACCGAGCCAAACCTTGTCGCGAGATGTGTCTCGGAGCTCCTATCAAATGACTCCAACCGTCGGTCCAAATTGGCTCCGGATTTTTTTACGCGAAGACAATCGAAATCAAAATTCGTCCAAACTTGGCATAGGGTTTTTGTGATGAGCCTTCAGAAACAGGTCCTGTGCAAATATGGGGCATGTGGGTGGTCCTCAAGGACCAAGGGAACGAGAGCTTCAGAGGGATTTCAAGCAGCTACTGGTGCAAGTGGAGATTACTTATTGGCATACCTCACGGTACCACTCGCAGAGCGACAGGGTGACTGAGCCTCTAGTGCAGACCCTAAAGAGAGGGCTACATGGATACGGGGAATAGGGGAAGCGAGACAGGGATAGAGCTGCATTGAATTGCAGAAGGTTATGAATTCGAAAAGCAAGCAGCACTCAAGGACCACTTACCCTACAGCCTGATGTACAGGCGAGAATCAAAGCTACCAATGGGGTCCCCACGGTGCTGACAGTTACAGCCACCACGGGAACCATAGAGAACTGCGTGGTGCTGGCGGAGGAGAGTGCATGGTACCTAGAAGTTATTATGCCAGCAGCACTAAAGAATCTTAACACTTCTCAATTATGTGATGCAAGGCGATATGAGCAGAGGCACGGGAGGGCGCAGAAATGGGCAAGTGAGGACTAGGAGGTATAGCCGAGGTGATCAAAGCATGACTCGCTCGCTGTGGGCCTAGGGACTGAGCGGTGGAGGGTGAAGTAGGTGCGGGACTCAGGGGTATTGGTGCTGGATAATGGCCAGGGCGCCAGGGTACAAGAGCACCAAACAAACACGGTGGTGATCCAAGGTCCAGGCATCCGCATCATGGTCCTGCGACACGTGGCAAGGAAGGAGTAGGTGGTGACCGAGGCAAACCAGAACTTTACAGGGAAGAACATAGGATGGCAAGGAAGAAATGCAGGGAGGAAGAGTAAGGCTGTTCTCCGACATGGGAGTGTGGGGTACTTTTCCATAACGAGTTCATACGAGATCCGGTTATGGAGGAAGCAATGGAGGTTGGTGAAAGAGGTTGAAGGAGGGATGCACAGGAAGAGGAGGGCATTGACGTCTTTGATGTGAAGTGTTGGGAGGGTAAGGAACGATTTTCGTACTGACCAGCGTGCTGGAGAGCAGCAAAGGCACTGGTGAAGGCAGCAGCAGCGAGATACCTGGCTGTAGCAAAAGCAGGAGCAGCACAAGGAAGCATGGGAACAAGCATCTTGCCTTTGCAACGGCTGTCCCTTGCTGACTGTGTTGTTGGCCCTCAAGTCCTTCCCTGGATGCCCCACGTGACGTCCTTGCAACACCTCTCTCTCAGCCACGTCCTCCGATGCGCAAAGCTTTACTGCACTGAGCAGCAATTCAACGAGCCTCACAATTGCGGCGCGTGCTGCGAGCTTAATCCCCGAGGAGGAGCATTGGGAGAGTCTCACGTCACTGCAGCAGGTGGAGACATGCGCGTGCTGTCCCATAGTTGTACATTTGGAGTGGTAGCCTCTTGTGCGTGTGGTTCATACAACAGCAGACGAGCAGGATTTATGCTCAGAGAGTTGGGAGGAACCAATGTTCTGGGATCAGTCCAGGGAGCTGACACCAATGCGTGTCTGTCATCATCGGCCATGCTGACAAGCACTAGCCAATCTTTGCATAGGAACATGCCATCTCAAACATCATAGCGCTGTAAAGAGATGACTGAGATATAGTCACAGAAATGCAAGTGAACGTATTGTGGAGCCCCACCGAAGTAACCCATTCTTAATTTGTAACACACATGTTTTGTACACCTATCCGGAGCAATTTTTTCCTGCCAGAATTCCTTTTTGCTTTCATGTAACCACAGTAAGTGCAGCAGGGCAATGCCATCTCAGCTGCCATTTACACCGCTGGCCACCATGCTTGCTGCTTCTCTTATCAAGGTGGCACCAGAATGATCACGTCCCCTTACTGAACTACGTGCCGGTTCTTCCCATTATCAGCGCACTATAGAAAAAACAGAAATGCCTAAACGGCCCTGAAAACACAGATGCCATAATAGACACATAGATACCCCGGATACCGTAAAAGACCCGGGGGTATTAACAGTGGGATGTGTTTTTTAAGACCCGGGTCTTATCATATCACAAGGTCATGCATAAGGTCATGTGTTTTGGAAGCTTAACATGTCAACAGTACGTGCTCCGTTTTTAGCGTTCAAAAGAAATATGCGGAACGGACAGGATGATGCGTATATGTGCTTTTTTGACTGTCTGTTACCCCTCGTTAATTAACATGTTATGGGATCTGGTGTGGAAACGGGTAGAAAACTATTAAAAAATCATTCTTTGCCTATAAAATGACCGATTCTCTAGGGGGAGGGGGGTCTTATCATGTTAACCCCCATTTAGGGGGGTATAACTACCAACGGCCTAGTTAGCGTACCCCCCTGGGGGGTCTACAACTGGGGGGGGGATGTTATATCCGGGGTACTACGGTAAAACGCCCCGGGCATGAAGGCACACGAGCTCCTACACACAAGCCCATCTGCACCTCACTGCCATGGGCGCCTGCCACCCTATCTCTGCCCCACTGCCATGGGCGCCCGCCACCCTATCTCTGCCCCACTGCCATGGGCGCCTGCCACCCTATCTCTGCCCCACTGCCATGGGCGCCTGCCACCCTATCTCTGCCCCACTGCCATGGGCGCCTGCCACCCTATCTCTGCCCCACTGCCATGGGCGCCCGCCACCCTATCTCTGCCCCACTGCCATGGGCGCCTGCCACCCTATCTCTGCCCCACTGCCATGGGCGCCCGCCACCCTATCTCTGCCCCACTGCCATGGGCGCCTGCCACCCTATCTCTGCCCCACTGCCATGGGCGCCTGCCACCCTATCTTTGCCCCACTGCCATGGGCGCCTGCCACCCTATCTCTGCCCCACTGCCATGGGCGCCCGCCACCCTATCTCTGCCCCACTGCCATGGGCGCCTGCCACCCTATCTCTGCCCCACTGCCATGGGCGCCTGCCACCCTATCTCTGCCCCACTGCCATGGGCGCCTGCCACCCTATCTCTGCCCCACTGCCATGGGCGCCTGCCACCCTATCTCTGCCCCACTGCCATGGGCGCCCGCCACCCTATCTCTGCCCCACTGCCATGGGCGCCTGCCACCCTATCTCTGCCCCACTGCCATGGGCGCCCGCCACCCTATCTCTGCCCCACTGCCATGGGCGCCCGGCCTGCTGCAGCCCCCACGCGCTGCCGCCTCTGCTGGCGCCTGGCATTGTCGGCCTCAAAGTGCGCCAACGCTGCATCCAGACTCTGGTGCCCGCCGTGGGGTGGGATGGGGTGGGGCCACCCACAGGGCGAGGCGGTCGTGGTGGGAGGGAAGGGAGGGAAAGGGATGAAGGGGAGAGGGAAGAGGAGTGAGGTGCGAGGTGTGCAGAGCACGCAGGCAGCTCGAGTGGTGCCTCTCCCCTGCAACCCAGTGTCCACAGCGCTATGTTGTTTAAAAAGTGCCTCTCCTCTTGCCACACACGTGCTCCGTCTGCCCGCCTGACCTTCCAAGTGCGCCAATGCTGCTCGCTCTGCCGGGTCAGGTGGTGGGGCCAAAAAGGGGGGACGGAGGCTGCTGGACGGAAGAATATAGGAAGGAGAGGCAGAATGGAGGAGAGCAGCTAGTAAGTGCACCTGGAAGAAGGGCTGCAGCAGCAAGTGCACCTGGAAGAAGGGCTGTAGCAGCAAGTGCACCTGGAAGAAGGGCTGTAGCAGCAAGTGCACCTGGAAGAAGGGCTGTAGCAGCAAGTGCACCTGGAAGAAGGGCTGTAGCAGCAAGTGCACCTGGAAGAAGGGCTGTAGCAGCTGTGAAAGCAGGTGGCGGTTGGCCCCGTCTGCTCCATCCTTCAGTTTCTGCACTCGGAGGGTGGGAGAAGATGAGGGGGAACACAGAAAAGCGTTGATGGGTGTTGGGTGACGAGGAAAGGGGAAGAAGAGGGGGCAAGAAGAAGCAGCAGAGCAACAGAGGGAAGAGGGGAAAGCAGCAACAGAAGCAGAGAGGGAGGGCGTGGGTGACCTGCAGGCGGTCGTACAGCTTGCTGATGCCCTCCTTGTGCCGCTCCGCCTGGCCACCATGGTGGGTGGGAGAGGGGAGGTGGGGTGCATGACAGGTGAGGCGCATGGGAGGTGACGCGATGAGGTGAAAGGAGGCAGAGGGAGCAGCATGGACGACGGGATGAGGCGGGCACAAGGGTTGGTGCGGTGGGGTGGGGAGGGGTTCTGTGCGTACCTTGGCGAGCAGGGCAGCGCTGGTGAGGGGGTAGGTGGCCCAGAAGTGTGAGAGCAGCTCCTTCACTGCCTCTCCGTGCTGATGCACGTGGGTGTGCGGCATGACGCAATGGGAGCATGAATGCGACAATTGGGGCGATGAGGGCATGCACGCAGCACATGGGACATGGGGGATATGGGAAGAAAGCACAGCACACGGGTTGTTGCAGAGAGGCATTACAAGGGATGGAATGCGAAGCTACATGCGCATAGCATCCCATGAACGCCTTGCTTGTCACGCCCTCCCCCCATGCTCTGCCTGCCGTGCCATGGGTGGGGGCATGAGGAAGCAACGTGCCAGCCACTGCAAGCAGCAAGGAAGTGCCCAGCGCAAGAGGCGGTGGGGCCATGAAGGGGCAGCAGGCAAGCCAACCCACCGCGAGCAGGGAGGTGCGCAGGGCGTCGGGCAGCTGCTTCAGCAGCGACTGCTCCGCCGCCTCCCCCACTCCCCGCCTCGCCACCGCCACCTGCCGCCCAAACTCCTCCACCTCCTGCCGCCGGGTGGGTGGTGTGGGATGGGGAGGGGTGTTGGGGGTGGGGAGCCCTGGGTGAGGGAAGGGTGTGCCAAGTGTAGTGAGTGAGTGGTGGGCACGAGTGCGTGGTAATAATGTGAGGGTCACCATGCTGTACCCATCCATGCTGTACCCATCCATGCTGTACCCATCCATGCTGTACCCATCCTTGCTGCCCCCATGCATTCTGCCCCCATGCGTTCCGCCCCCACCCCATGCATCCTGCACCTTAACCTTTTCCCCACACAGCTTCTCACCTGAGCAGCAGCAGCAGGCGCCATCACTGCCGCTGCACCTCCCTTGCCTCCCCCACCCCGTTTTCCGTGCTCCCTGCTGCTGCCTCCGCTCCCCCCCGCTGCCAGCTCACTCCGAAACGCTGCCAGCGAGGCTGCCAGTGTGGTGCGTGTGCCAGCTAGCGCTGAGTCAGCGGCGGGTGCAGGGCCGTCCAGATCCATTGCATCTGGCGCAAGTGCCTGGCCCGCTTGCTGCTGTGTGTGCGCTGTGTCCCTCTGCGTGGCGGCATCAAAGTACTTGCGTGGGTCCTGCCGTGTGGCGGGTGGGGGGAAGGGGGGTGCAGATGGGTGGAGCGCAGATGAACGGAAGGGGGAGCAAGTGCAGAGGTGAGTGCAAAGGTTGAATAGGTGAACAGAAGCAGGAAAAGAGTGGGGATAGTGGTGAGAGTGGTCAGAGTGAACGAGGTTGGTGAGAGCATGTGAGCACCCGAGTGAGCGAGAGTGAGAGGTGAGCCAATGGCACATGGCATGGCACATCACACATGCAGTGTGCCACGTGCCCCAACATACATACCACCTTTCATGCCAGATCCACGTGCCTGGATGGTGAGCGGGATGGTGGTGGCAGGGGCGTCCCCTCGGAGGTCCGCCATCACGGCCATCTCGCGCGCCCTCTCCCTCCGCCACTCCTCCTCCGCCCCCTGCTCCCCTGCCGTGCCTGCTGGGAGGGGGGGGGAAGGGGAGGGACATGGGGAGGTTTGTTGTAGGGAGGGAGGAGGGGAGGTGTGAGGACGCTGGTGGATTTCCATTGAGATAACTTGGGAGTAAAGTCATGCAAAATGACCTTTTTGCTGAGTTGCATGCACCATAGCTTGCCATTCGTTCCAGCTCAAGTGCCACTGCAGCACAGCTTCGCCAACACCCCACTGTGCAGTCACCTGACCTTTCCTCCACCCCACCTCGTACCTCTATGCTTTCCTTCCCACACCACCACACCACGCCACACCATAGTGTTCATTTGTCAACAACACATTTCCCTTCCAATTGTTTAACTCTTTTGCCCACTTCATCTGCTATGCCCCCTTTATCCCTCATGTCACACCCCTCCCTCCACCTGCCTCCCCCCACCCGCCCTCCCCCTTGTGCCCTCCCCCAGAAGCCATCCCTCCTCCACCTGCCTCCCCCCACCCACCTCACCTCTGCGCCCTCCCCCTTAAGCCCTCCCCTCTGTGCCCTCCCCCCTAGCCCTCCCCCGTGCGCCCTCCCCCCTAACCCCATAACCCCCTGCTCCCTGCCCCCTGCCCCACCAGCCTGGAGGGCCGTGGCCTCGGCGACGGCAGTGGCGAGCTCCCTGGTGTCCGCCACGTCCTCCTCTGCGCGCACAGCACACGCATGGGGGGTCGGGGGGCAGGGGAAAGATGAGAGAAGGAGGGTGCGGGCGAACAGCAGTGGCGAGCTCCCTGGTATCCGCCACGTCCTCCTCTGCTCCGCCATCCACATGCATAAGATAAGATGGGAGATGACACGCACCGGGGGGAGGCAAGAACATGAAAGAAAGAAAGAAAGAAAGAAAGAAAGAAAGAAAGGTAGGTTTACTATTGGTTCCGCCAGGTTGCCGTTCGACTTTCGTCTCTTCGACTTGTAGGTCTTACGGTGAGCGGGGGCATGGGGTGGAGACGACAGGCATGGGGGGCATGAGCAAGACGAGAGACACGAGGGAGGAGGGCGAGGGCGAGTGGGCGTACAGCCTGACGCCCCTGTTAGACGCGCTCAAGGCACTGGTTGGCCGCACACGAGGAGAGACGGGCGAGGGCGGGCGAGAGGACTCGTGTGAGACGGGGGATGGGGAAGAGGCGGGGGAGCAAGCACAGGGGGGCGGGGGCACTCACGGAGCAGGCGGCCCTGCAGCACGACAGCGGCGTGCTGGTTGATGTCGCGGAATATCGTGCGCCTCATGCGCACCTGCCCTTCCGCCCCCGCACCGCTGCTGCCACCACCACCACCGGCACCAGCAGCAGCGCCACCAGCGCTGCTGCTCCTGCCCAACTGCCCGCCCGCCCCTGCCCCCTCCTGCCTTGCTGTGCCCTCCTTCTCGCCCTCGCCCTCGCCCTCCACAGCTGGTGCCTCCTTGCGCCCATCCCTCAGAATGCCGTGGCCCTGCCATGCCATGCCATGCGCAAGGTAGTTACGCAAGGAGGCACAGGGATGGGGCACAGAGGTGGCCTAACGAGGTGGGAGTGGTATGGAGACGCGACAGCACCGCAAGCAGGCGTGCAAGCAAGCACCCCTCGTCCTGCTGTGCCCCACAAAGCCCCACACACCCTTGCAGCTCCTCGCATGCGTCCAACCTTCCCTAGGCACGCAGGCATAAGGGCCAGGCAGGAACACAGGCAGGCAAGCAGACGGGCGCACAAGCAGGCGAGCGGGCAAGCAGGCGAGCGGGCGAGCAGGCGAGCGAGCAGGCGAGGGGGCGGGCAGGTGGGGCAAGACGCACGAGCAGGGAGGAGTAGTCGTCGCTGACGTCCGCCAGCACGTTGAGCGTTGGGTCCACCCGCTGCACCTGAATGGGGGGGTGAGGAGGCCACCGTCCCCACACGCGAGGGATGAGGCAAGAGGGATGAGGCAAGAGGGATGAGGCAGGAGGGATGAGGCAAGAGGGATGAGGCGAGGGGGATGAGGCGAGGGGGATGAGGCGAGGGGGATGAGGCGAGGGGGATGAGGCGAGGGGGATGAGGCGAGGGGGATGAGGCGAGGGGGATGAGGCGAGGGGGATGAGGCGAGGGGGATGAGGCGAGGGGGAAGAGGCGAGAGCGATAAGGTGGTTGATGGCAAGCGGCAGGGCAGGGACGGGGATGTTGGGAGACTAGGCAGCAAGTGGGCTTCGCAAAAACTTGTGGCGACCGCAACAGGAGCAAGGGGGGCGGGCGCGTGGGCAGAGAGGGTGGCGGGTGGGCAGAGAGGGTGGCGGGTGGGCAGAGAGGGTGGCGGGTGGGCAGAGAGGGTGGCGGGTGGGCACCTTTTGGCGCGCCTGGGCGTGCAGGTGCGGGTCGTCCCTCACGAAGAGCGCGAGCTCGTCATCATCCGCCGCCTCCGCCTCCGCCGCCGCCACGTTGCGCGTGCGAAAGAGGTACTCCGCGCGATAGTACTTGCCCCAAAAGGCCTTCTCCGTCATCTGGTGGTGGGGGTGGTGTGGTGAGGAAGGGGTGGGGGAGGCGAGGAGGGGGAGAGTGGGAGGGTAATGTGATGGCGTGCATGGAAGAGGTACTCCGCGCCGCAGTACTTGCCCCACTAGGCCTTCTCGCTCATCTGGGGGAGGGTGAGGAAGGGAGGGTGAGGAAGGGGGGGTGAGGAAGGGGTGGTGAGGAAGGGGTGGTGAGGAAGGGGTGGGCCTTCTCAGTAATCTGAAGGGTGGGGAAGGTGGGGGGTGTCGGGGGTGAGTGGAGGAGGGGGAGAGGGGGAGATGTGATGTGATAGCTTGCATGCAGTGGGAACTGCCCGCGGTCATGCACGCCCCAGGTCGCCTTTCCGGACATCCCAGGGAGGGAGGTGGGTGGGGGGGAGGAATGGGGAGGGGGCAGCAAGAGTTGACTGAGAAGAGAGGGGGGAAATGAATGCGAGAGTTGATGGTTCGCATGGAAGTGAGAGAGTGGTAAGCGCAAGATGAGAAGCAGGTGCGAGTCACAGAGAAGGCGCTCATGAGTCAAGCTGCTCAAGGCTAGGTGTTGATCAAAGACAGAAACTAACACCCCGCCTCCTCCCCCCTAGCCAACCTCCCTCCCCCGCTCCCTCGCTGCTCGCCCTCGCTGTCCACCACCCACCCGGCCAGGCACGAGCTCCATGAAGGCGCGGTGCACCGCTGGCTTCTCCAGGAAGATCTGCCGCACCGAGTGGGGGTGGGGGGAAGGGAAGGGGGGGGAGGGAATTCGCCAGTGGGGCAAGCGCATGGACGTGCACAAGCAGTGAGATGAGAGGCGACATGAGTGGTTCAACAAGTTAGATGTGGGTGGACATTGGAATTAGCATGGTGGCATGCACAGCGGGGTCCACGCATGAGAATGAGGACAGCAAGTAGCCTGCAAGTGAGTTGGGAGAGAAGACGAGAGGCAAAACATTGGGGGGCGTGTGCAATGCAATGAGGGCGTTGAGAGGAGTGCAGACCTGCTGGATGATCTGCGGTGTGAGGTTGAAGGTGATGGTGTTGCTCTGTGGTGGGGGGATACACACACACAACACAGCAAGCATACACAAAACAGACGAGTATTGAGACAATGGCTATGAAGCTGACGCATTGCTGCACGATGGCTAGTCCGCACCTCAACAAGCGCTAGTGACCTCGTGCTCTCAGCTCGCCGGACTTGCTTAGATTGAGAACAGGACGCCACACCCACCCACATCTATCACACAGGACTCCACAGAAAAGGCTGCCATGCTGAAACCCCCCCTCCGTTCCTGCTCCACTGCAACCCTACCTACCATCACCCTGCCATCCACCACCCACCCTGCCGTCCGCCACCCACCCGGCCATCAGTGACGCCTCGGACGTCTGCCAGCATGGCACTCGCCACGCCCACCCGCTGCTTGCGCTTCCTCCGCTCCTCCTCCACCCCCTGCCATGCCACGCCATGCCATGCCGTGGGGAGTTGACGGGATGGGTTGGCGGGATGCAGTGGTGGGGATTGAATGGCACGCGTAAGGTGGACAGAAGGATGAGGCGAGGGCAAGAGTGAGAGACGAGGGGTGGGCAGGCGCATGAGGAAGGGTAGGAAACGAGGCACAGGGATCATACGCACTCACTCAAGCCATGCACCCCACCTTCCTGGCGGCCCAGAACTCGGACTCGGTGAGAGCGCCCGTCATGACCAGCTCCTGATGCAGCCGCCTTAGCTTGCTGCTCGCCCCGTGCAGCAGAAAGTATGGAGGGCAAACAGCATGGGGAGGAAACGGCATGGAGATTGGAAACAGCATGGCGGGAGGGCATCCACATGTGTATGGCTGCCTTCATGTGGCGTGCACTGTTGCAGTGCACACACACACAGACGAACAAACAAGCACACAGCAGACCAACCAAGCAGGTCTTCCCTCTCTCCCTCTCTCCTCCCATCCACTGCCCCCATCCACCCCTGCATGCTCCACCCCAACCACACACGCACGCATCAGACTGCAGCAGCTTCTGCCGGCGCTGCAGCTCTGCCGGATCCAGCAGCTCCATTGCCATCGCACCAGGCAGCCCGGCCGGCAACCCAGGCGCCATGCCACGCACCGCCCCCGCGCTCACCCCTCCAGCTGCTGCAGCAGCTGCAGAAGCAGCGGCAGCGGCAGCAGCAGCGGCAGCGGCAGCGGCAGCGGGATGAGCAGGGGGGAGGAGTGGAGAGGCGGAGCCGGAGAGAGCGGTGGGCGGAGGAGTGGATGGCGTGGGGGCGGAGGCGGGTGCTGACGTGCTCTGGTACTTGGCCTGGTAGGCACCTGCCGTCATGCACGAGGTGTGGTGAGTCATGATAAATAAGTCACTACAGGTGATGGGTTGATGAGGTGGGGGAGGGTGATGAAGGCATGGCATAAAATACACTCACGGGAGCAGAGCGAATGGCATTCATGCACACAACGAAGGCAAGCTGCAGTACACCGGAAAAAACTTGGCCAACCCAGTGCCTTTCACTTACACCCTCCTCGTCAACTCCTGGGTGACATCCTGGGTGAGTGATATTTTGCGATGTCGCGAATTGTTACCCTGCTGTAACCGCGCAGACCGCACAAACACGACCGCCCCCCTCTCTATGGTTTGTATACACGCAATGCCTGCCTCTCCAGCCTTAAATTCGCTTACTGTAATGCAAGCAATGCGCCTTGGATCGCTTGGAGGAGAACTGCTCACCTCAAACCGAACCTACATTTATAATCTCAATCCAGCTCTAGTCAAACCAATCTCTGCTAAACTTCAACTGGCCCGAACGATTCGAAGGTTCAACGCAATTGTAACGAATTACTCTGACTGGCGAGCTAGTGAGCCACAACGAGAGTCAGGCGCCCACTTGAGCTGTCAAACCGAATCTCTGGCTTGGCTTGTCAGCCTGGCAGCTCCTCCTGGGTTGAACTGGCTCGGCTTAAAACTATGTTAACGCGTGGCTACCATGAGGTGGCTTCGAATGAGGGCTGATGAGGAGAGCAAACAAGCACAAGAGGTGGGAGGAGAAGCTGTGTGGGGAGAGAGGTGGCGACGGAAACTGCTGGAGTGGTGCAGGTGGGCAGGAAAAGCATGGCAGGGCAGTGGTCACGTACTGTAGACATCTCTGGCCTTGTCACGATCAGCGAACGAGGAGAAGACAAACATGTATCCGCCCTCCGCCTGCATGGCGCATGCACAACACATGACACACACACACATGTGTAGGCCAGTGCAAGGGCACACAGCAACTCCCATACAGAGTGCAGAGAATAAGTACTCGCATAGGCATGGCACGGCATGGCATGGCATGGCAACGCATGGCATGCGGTGCCGGCTCCCTAACAACATGGTTCACATGGGTGTCACTAGTACTGAATGAGGGCGCTTAAGCGGATGACGAGGAAGGGATGAGAGCACGAGGGAGTGAGGGGATGAGAGAATGAGCGGTTAAGGGGTGGGAAGATGAGGGGGTGAGGAGGTGTGGGGGTGGCAGGGTAGGGGTTGTGGGGCTGACGAAATGGAGGCGTGAGGGTGTGAGAGAATGCAGGAATGAGGGGTTGATTGAAGGGGTGTGAGGGAGTGAGTGGGTGACAGCGTGAGGGGTTGAGGGGTTGAAGAGGGGGTGAGGGGGAGAGGCAGGCACACGGCACGCACAGCAGGGTCGGCATGGGGGCTGAACTTGAGCAGCGCTGTGGTGGCCGAGGGCGTCTCCTTGCTCCACCTGTGCGCTGCATGCCCGTGCCATGCCATGCCATGCCATGCCGTGCCACACACACACGCCACACACATTTGAGCATGGACAGGGAGCAACGGGAGAGTTGACAGCATGTGCGCGGCAGTGCGAGGACGACAGGGGAGGGCCTGAAAGAGCAATGGCAGCAGAAGAGAGAGTGCAGGGCGACAGGTGTGGTGGGCAATGGAGGCAAGACAAGGCAAGCGGCAGCTCTCACGGCACTCTGTATGCATGCGCTGCGCGCACTGGATGGTGGCCTGGCCTGCAAGGGGCTCATGAAGAGGCTCACACTTGATGCTGGCAAGAGGCACGTCGAGCCTTGCTGCTGCCGATGGGTTGGCTGGCACCCAGGAGAAGCACGTGGGGGTCTGTGTGCATGCACCAACACATGCATGCACATGCATATGCGCACACATAAGCACATGCTCCCACACACAAGAACATGCATGCACACACATCCATGCACACGGGTGGGTATGCCCGCACACAAACGCAAACAGATGCTGTGACGTCTTAAGGACAGCACAGCACACACATCCATGCACACGTAACGGTCAGCCTGGCAACCGCGAGTCTTTGCGACGCCATTCCGTTCTTGATTCGCTTCTTTCCTGCCTTCCTGCTTTCATGCATTCTTCTTGATTTTCTGCGCGCATTGAAACATCGACTGCTGTCGGGCCGCCGTGCACCCCACTCCCGCCGAGCGGTGAGGGCGAGCGCGACGAGGATGCGGAGCGCTACAGCGATACCGACCAAACTAGCGAGCATGCGTACCACAGCGATAACGCCGCCTGCAGCGCATCCTACCATGGTGATCACGCCGTCTGTGGCGGGGCCCTTGGCTGCCGGCTTGAGCTTGGCGCGCGATGACAGCACCACCTCCATCGCACGCAACTGCTCTCACCACACACTTGGGTCGGGCGCTGCAAAATACACCCGTGCGGGTCAATGGGGTTGCGGATTGGTATGTTGTCTCCAACTATGCCACTGCTGTTCCTGCCACGCCACACATGAACAAGGAGAGGGAAGGAAAGGTTGGGTTGAAGGGCTGTGTGGGAGATGCAGTCACTCACACATTGTGGCACCAGTGAATTCACTCTTCTCTCTGGCAACTCACTCCCTGTTCCCTCCCCTCCCCTCCCCTCCCCTCCCCTCCCCTCCCCTCCCCTCCCCCCCCCTCCCATCCCCTCCCCTCCCATCCCCTCCCCTCCCCTCCCCTCCCCTCTTTTCCCCTCCCCTTCCCTTAACTCCCCTCCCCTCCCCTCCCCTCCCCTGACCTCCCCTGACCTCCCCTGCCCAACTCTTCCCCGCCCCCCTGCCTTGCCATCTCTTGTTTTCCCCTCCCCCTGCCCTATGTACCTTGCCCTCCCCCACTGCACTTCCCTGTCCTCCCATTCCCTCTCTTCCCCTCCCCTGCTCTGTCTTCAACTCCCCTTTCCAGCCCTCCCTGACCTCCCTACCCATTCCTCCCCGTCCCGTCCCGTCCCGTCCCGTCCCGTCCCGTCCCGTACCGTCCCGTCCCGTACCTATCCTTCCCATCTCTCCCTTTCCCGTCCCCTTCCCGTCCCCTTCCCGCCCCCTTCCCGCCCCCTTCCCGCCCCCTTCCCGCCCCCTTCCCGCCCCCTTCCCGCCCCCTTCCCGCCCCCTTCCCGCCCCCTTCCCGCCCCCTTCCCGCCCCCTTCCCGCCCCCTTCCCGCCCCCTTCCCGCCCCCTTCCCGCCCCCTTCCCGCCCCCTTCCCGCCCCCTTCCCGCCCCCTTCCCGCCCCCTTCCCGCCCCCTTCCCGCCCCCTTCCCGCCCCCTTCCCGCCCCCTTCCCGCCCCCTTCCCGCCCCCTTCCCGCCCCCTTCCCGCCCCCTTCCCGCCCCCTTCCCGCCCCCTTCCCGCCCCCTTCCCGTCCCCTTCCCTTCCCGCCCCCTTCCCGCCCCCTTCCCGCCCCCTTCCCGCCCCCTTCCCGCCCCCTTCCCGCCCCCTTCCCGCCCCCTTCCCGCCCCCTTCCCGCCCCCTTCCCGCCCCCTTCCCGCCCCCTTCCCGCCCCCTTCCCGCCCCCTTCCCGCCCCCTTCCCGCCCCCTTCCCGCCCCCTTCCCGCCCCCTTCCCGCCCCCTTCCCGCCCCCTTCCCGCCCCCTTCCCGCCCCCTTCCCGCCCCTTCCCGCCCCCTTCCCGCCCCCCTTCCCGCCCCCTTCCCGCCCCCTTCCCGCCCCCTTCCCGCCCCCTTCCCGCCCCCTTCCCGCCCCCTTCCCGCCCCCTTCCCGCCCCCTTCCCGCCCCCTTCCCGCCCCCTTCCCGCCCCCTTCCCGCCCCCTTCCCGCCCCCTTCCCGCCCCCTTCCCGCCCCCTTCCCGCCCCCTTCCCGCCCCCTTCCCGCCCCCTTCCCGCCCCCTTCCCGCCCCCTTCCCGCCCCCTTCCCGCCCCCCTTCCCGCCCCCTTCCCGCCCCCTTCCCGCCCCCTTCCCGCCCCCTTCCCGCCCCCTTGCCGCCCCTTCCCGCCCCCTTCCCGCCCCTTCCCCGCCCCCTTCCCGCCCCCTTTCCCGCCCCCTTCCCGCTCCTTCCGGTCCTGGCCACTCCACTCTCGCCCCGTTTCGTCCAAACAGTCCCGAACCGACCCATCCTGCGGCCTGCCTCGTCCCGTCCCCTCGCATCCCCTCCCGTCCCCTCGCATCTCCTCCCGTCCCCTCGCATCCCCTCCCGTCCCCTCTCATCCCCTCCCGTCCCCTCGCATCTCCTCCCGTCCCCTCCCATCCCCTCCCGTCCCTCGCATCCCCTCCCGTCCCCTCTCATCCCCTTCCCGCCCCCTTTCTCCCCCTTCCCGCCCCCTTCCCGCTCCCTTCCCCACTTCCCCCCCCCCCCTTCCCCCCCTTTCCCTTCCCTTCCCCCAGCTTCCCCCCCCTCCCCCCCCCTTTCCCCCCCCCTTCCCCCCTTTCCCGCTCCTTCCCGTCCTGGCCACTCCACTCTCGCCCCATATCGTCCAAACAGTCCCGACTCGACCCATCCTGCCCCGTCCCGTTCCCTCTCATCCATTCCCCTCCCCTCTCATCCCTTCCCCTCCCCTCTCATCCCCTCCCATCCCGACCCATCTCGTCTCGTCCCCACCTGTCCAATCCCATTTAATCGCCCATCCCGTTCTGTCCAGATCGTGCCCGTCTCGTCCTGAACTCCTCTTTTGTCCGTCCAACTCCTCAAGGAGGGAAATTCCTTTCCCGCCCCGACCATTCCCGCCCCGTCCCTTCCCGCCTCGTCGCTTCCCGCGCCGTCCCTTCCCGCCCCGTCCCTTTTTCGCCCCGTCCCTTCCCGTCCCATCACTTCAGAAGCCGTTATGTCCGTACTCTAATGCATGACATTCGTCGAGAACAAAGAATACACTCGCCATGACTCACAAAGTGCGGATAGTAGCGCCACGACCTCTCCTCTCTTTGCTATACTTGAGGTAGTGTTCTCAGCTCCCGTAATACGTTTCTTCTGCTCGGTTTTTGCCTCTGTCGTCTGGATGCTCGCTGCTGCCGGGGCGACGATCTTTGGGATGGGGTGGTGCGTGTTATGAATTTCAGTTGGGACTAAGGCGTGGTCTTTCTGCCAAGACTGTAAACAATCTGGTAATTTCAACGCACTGCAAAAGTTGGAGTAAAAAATGTTACAATCAAGCATTTCGTTTGGTCTAAAAATTGACAATAACCAGCGTCACTGTTCCAAACTTGAGTTTCGGCAAACGTAGAGAATTCGCGACGCAGTACATACAGTTACAAAGGCATTGCGCCCTTGCATTGCTTTGAAACAAAATGTATTCTACCTGCGAACGTCTGAAATGTTGAGCCCTTCGAGCCCCTTGTATCACGCCGTGCCTCGAAGGAGTTTCGATTGTTGTGAGGTGTTGCAACACCTCACAACGACCATCCCGTAGCCTTACCTTGGATCATCACAGCACGACGACCTTGGAATTTCACCGGACAAGTGAGGGATCCCTGCATGCAAAATCCATGGTCTGTCAGGGAACTAGAGACAGCCTCGGTTAGGGAAACTGGATCGTAGATGCCGCACGCAGGTTCACCTGCGTCGCTTCCGCATGCTTGTCACACGCAGAGTCTTTTCTGGGACGTCAGCTACAATCTCGAGCAGCATTGCCTTGTCTTGCCTTCCCTCTCATCGGCTCTCATTTCTCCACTGATGCGCGCATCGCAAACGGAATGAACTGCTTCTAATGCACTCTTGCGCTGCTGAGCACCTCGTTAGTATCGTGCAAGAGTTATTTCCCCACTGTCACTGCTTTCTTTGTAAAGCCACGAGCCGTTCCTTAGCACACCATTTGGCCGCCTCGTATTTCGAATCCCAAGATGGAGGCAAGCGCGAGCATCAGTAGCCTCCCGGACGACCTCCTCCTCGCCATCCTGAGGCGGTCCTTTGAGCAGCTCACTTCATGCAAGCCCCACACTGACAATCTATGGACCTCCAGCTATGAATGGTCATCCATGAGTAATTGCACGGAGCAAGCCGATGCGATAGTCAACACACCCATAGCATCCCCTCCTCCCCTCGCAGACGCCTCTCAAAATCTCCTCCTCGCGTCCGTCTGCCGCCGTTGGCGTCGCCTCGCAAAGCTCCACGTCACCACGCTCTCCGTGAAGGCAGACCTCTTGGTGTCCCTGGAAAACCTCTCAGTCGCCGTCTCGTGCTTTCCAAACCTCACGCATCTGCATCTGGGCAGCAGCAGCGTCAAGTCGCTCGACGACACCTTCCTCGCTCACCTCGCCTCGTCATGCCCGCAGCTGACGGCGTTCCACGTGGGAAGAACCTGGCGGATGCCTGACGACCGTGGCTACCTGGTGAAGCACTATCGTTGGAAGGAGGAGCATCGAATCACTACAGTCGGCTTGGATAAGTTCTTTCAGAAAATTTCCAACTTGGAGCAGGTTACCCTTTTCTGCCTTCGCCCTGAGATTAAGCTACCAGATTCCCTTTTTCGCTTGAAGCATCTGCATAAACTTCTCACCAACGCTTCAGCCGTGGACAACCCCTGTTTCAAATGCCTCACTGCCCTTACCACCCTGTACATCACCTTCCCATGGAACCATCAGCACCTGTCCACCCTCCTGCACCTCCCGCGACTCACCCATCTGTTTACCTTCGCGCCTCACGAAAACCATCAACCTGTGGGTGCTGCAGGCGTGACTCAACCACCCTGCCTGAAGTCGCTCAATCTCATGCTGTCTTGTCCCGATGTGGACACCATCTTCCCATCAGCATCGCCGTTCACCGCGCTAGAGGAACTGCGGATCACCCAGTGCAATGAGCTAGAGACCCTTCCCGACCGCATAGGAGACCTGCTGCCATACCTTCGCAAGCTGACTATTCGCGAGTGCTACTATTTCACTCACCTGCCTGAAAGCTTCACCTGTCTGGGCCATCTAGAGGAGCTCATTGTCTCCACGTGTGATGCCTTCACCCTACCCACCAACTTCGGCCACCTGCCTGTGCTCAAATCACTGGTGCTGGAAAGTCTGTCATTCACCGAATTCCCTCCGTCCTTCTGCCATCTCACATCTCTTGAGTCACTCTTTTTAGTCGATTGCCACCCGCTTTTGAACCTGCCCTCAGGATTCTGCCAAATGACAACTCTCAAGGCGCTCTGCTTCTCAAGATGCGAGGGCCTTGCGTTGCCAGAGGACGTTGGGGCCCTTGCAGGTCTGCAGGCTCTCAGACTGCACAACTGCCAGCACCAGCCCCTTCCACGTTCCTTCACCCACCTCTCCTCCCTCACGAGCCTTGACCTGAGCGCATGCTTTGGAGGCGAGCTGCCAGCCCTGGGCGCGCTGAGCAGGCTGCGGGAGCTGAAGATCGTTGATCTCCCCATCAGCACGCTTCCCACCTCACTCACACGGCTTACAGGCCTGCAGGGCTTGGAGGTGAGGGGGTGCCAGGCGCTCTCACAAGTGCCCCCTCGGCTGGATATGCTCGTGGGGCTGAAGAGGCTGGAGGTGACGGAGTGTGAGGAGCTGAGTAGACCCGCTGCTGGTCTGCCACCCTCCCTTGAGACCCTGTGCCTGGGACCCTTCGTGGAAGGTTCTTCCCATGTGGTGGACGTTTCTGGGTTGTCGCAACTGAGGGTGCTGAAGCTGAACTGCGTTGGGGTGCGCTGCGGGCCTGCCGTGAGTGGGAGGTTGTTGTGGCTGGAGCAGGGAAGGCAAGGAGAGCAGGGGGGACAAGGGGAGCAGGGGGAGCAGGGGGAGAAGGGGGAGCAGGGGGAGCAGGGGGAGCAGGGGGAGCAGCGGGGGCAGGGGGGGCAGCTGGAGAAACTGGAGAAGCTGGAGATGCGGTTGGAAAGCGAACATCTGGAGCTCCCAGTCCCTTTGACTTTTCTCCCTCGCCTGCGCAGCTTGTTAATAGAGGCGCCTGGACTTTACAGCCTTCCAGAAAACATGGGGCCAGCGTTGCCACAGCTGCGTCAGCTGGAGCTTCTTTCATGGTCACCGGAGAATCTTCCTGGAAGCATAGTGGACCTCAGTTCCCTCACATCACTTACGGTTGAAGCAACTCAGCTGACGGCGCTACCTCAATGCATGAGCTCCCTGTCTCGGCTGCGCAGGCTGGAGCTGATTCGCTGCACTGCCTTGCAGCTCCGCCCAGAGACTCTTCTCTCCCACCTCGCCAGCCTGCAGCATCTCATACTCAATGGCGCCCCAGGCACACCCATTCCTGCCAATTTCGTGCTGCTCCCGGAAACATTTCCAGTGAGCCTGATTCAGCTGACGGTGAGCAAGAGTGTTGTCCAGGGCTAATTTTTTGTTTTGAGCAACCCTTATGATCAGTGTTGCACCTGTACGAAAACCTGATTATCAGTGTGACCCCTTAAGAAAATTCTTTTGCATCAGGGTTAAGGCTAGGTTTGAATTTTTTACCAAGGCATCCGCTCAGTTGTCGTTGTTACATTGAAAGCACACAATAATTTTCTTAGTCATCATCAGACAAGGCACAAGGGTGTTGCTCCTGGTCACTATCGTCTACTACTGGCTCTGGCACCTTCTCTTTCCCCCACCTTTCCAAAGGCTTTCGGGCTTTATGGAGGGGGGGGGGGGGGGAGGGGGGGAGGGTGGGTGGGGGGGGGGGGGGGGGGGGGTGGTACGCGCTTCAGGGTAGAACTCGCTAAGGAGAATGTAAACCCTGGCATATCAGGAAAATGAAAAAATACCCTGAGGCATCAGTGTGACTACCCAAAACCACCCTAATTATCAGGGTATCAGGGTGATTTACACTGATAAAATTAGGCCTGGTGTTGTCTAGGAAAGCTGGCTTCAAATATGGTACCGGTTTCATGTTGGTGGCATGGGAGATGACTGATCAGAGACTAATCGTGTGCTCTGCAAACTTGTTTGTCTTGCAGTATCGTTTCGTGTTGCTCGGGTTGTCTGGAAGATGTTATAAACTTTCTTGCATTGTGCTCAAACATTCATAAACGTTGCCCGATGCCAACAAAATGGAACAAAATGTTTAGGGTTGCTATTCAACTCGCAAACCTTCACTAATTGAACTTGTAATGCACCACGTAGAATCAAGCGTGTTACTTCTGCACTATAGGGCGTGGTATATCTGGTCCAAAAATGTTTTTTTAGAACTGATCCCTGGTTTGAAGTTTTGAGTTTCTTGTGGCGAAGTTGGGAATGCCAATGTTGGGTTTGAGGACAGCGCGATGACCACAAGACTGGACCAGTATTTGCGAAACTGTTGGAAACCTATTAGCCAATTGGTGTCGAGCCTTGCCTAAACCTTCAGCAAATGAATCACGCCCTTGTGTCCCTTAATTTTCAGATTTGTGAAAACTCGGCTCGCAGGATTACAGTAATTCACAAAAAGATTGCGGGAACTCAACTTCACGATTTCTTCCCGCAATCTGCGTGACCAAGATTCTTCAATCAACTCGCCTTTTCCGCGCTGGTGCCAATCAACCGCAGATAGCCGTTTTCCTCTTCGAATTCCAGTTTAGGCGCTACACTCGACCCTTCTCACGTCTGCCCGCGCCATCCCCGCCGATGGCTGTCGCTGCCGCCTCCGCGGCGCTGGCCCACGGCGAGCCGAACACGGCGGAGGCGGAAGCCTTGCGCCAGATCGGCGCAATGGAGGCGCTGCTAGCGCGCGCGGACGAACATATCACATCCATCGCCGCCTGCGGCACTCGCGGGGGGCCCACGCGCGCGCAGCTCCCCGCGCTGACGGTGGGCGCGCAGAACGCGCTGGCGGCGCTTGGGGGCGTGGAGCGGGAGTTGCGGTCGCTGGCGGAAGAGATGGCGGAGGGCAACGAGTGCGCGGTTGGGGCCCGCGAGGAGGGCGGCGGAGGCGGAAGCGAAAGCTTTGCGCAGAGGTAGGCGGGGGGCGAGCGCGATCGGTGAGCGAGGGTAGAGAGAGTTTTGATTGATGGCGGAGGAGATGGGGAAGAGGTGACAGGAAGGACGGGTGGACGGGAGGGAAGGGGGGTGCAGATGTCGCGCTCTAGACCTCGGTAGAAGAGGGGGAAGAGGGCGAGCGAGAAGGGGGCACGGGTGGGTAAGGCTGGCTTCAAAGAGTGAACGGGTAGGGCCCGCCGTTACCGGCGCTTTAAAGGCACCTGCCCCACCCACTCCCCTTTCCATTTCCGCTTCTCCCCCTCCCCCTCCCCGTCCCCCTCCCCTTCTTCCCCCCCCAATCCCACCACCACTATCCCTACCACTCTGCGCATTTCTGATTCTCAACATCATCAAGGAAACAGAAACTCATTTGTTGCTGCTCCCCTGCTGCCTCACTACGCTGATGTCAGCTGACTGCTCAAAAGGCTGAGAATCCGTTGTTAGCCTGGCTGCCAATGCCTGTATGGCTTCCTCACGCCCTCTCCCAGCTTCCTCCTCCTTCTGCTGCTCCTCCTGTCACCTCTCTTGTGTTCCATTTTCCTCCCCCTCACCCCCCTCCGCCTCACCACACCCTCCTTCCAGATTCCGACCGCCACTTGAACCCCTGTAGGCCCTGCGGGCAGCATCTGGTAAGTCACTGAGTCGCTCCTTCACCAACTGAAGTGGGCCGTGCTCGCTCAGCCAGGGCGAACGAATGGTTCTTTCACTCCTCCTTCCCTCCTCGCTTTCATTGCCGCTCTCTCTTCCCTGAGCCCGTGTGGCAGCAACTCACGTGGGGGTCTGTGGCAGCTGCTCAAGGCGCATGTGCAGACACTGGGTAGCCTCAAGAGAATCTTACTTCTCCGGGTCCTCCCTCAACTTCCCTCCTGCCCTTTCTTTGCCGTTCCATTCCCTCCCCAAACCCTCCCCACCCCCACCCGCCTCTCCCCTCCCTCCGCCACAACCCCCACCCCCGCCTTCCTCTTTCCCGCAGAGTCCCCGTGTGGCAGCAGGTGCAGGCGGCCCTGCAGCAGCTGCACCAGGCGCATCCAGTGTAACCACCAGTGCTCCGCCTCCCTCCCTTCCCCCCTCCCTCCTTCATCCGTCCCTGCTCCACCTTCCTCACTCCCTCCCTCCCTTCCTCCCGCCCTCCCTCTCTCTTGCCCTCCGTCCCTCCCTTCCTTCAACCCCGCCCTCCCTCCTCCGTCCGTGCGCCACCCGCTTCCATCCTCCCGTGGCGCTGTTTTCCTTTCCTGTGTTTGCGTTTCCTTGGCCCATCGCACGGCTCATTGGTGCTTCCTTTCAAGCTGTCTGTGTTTCTCGCTCCCCCCCTCTCTATTCCTCTCTCCTCCTCGCTCTCTTCCTCGCACCACCACCACACGGAATCACGCTCTCTCTGCCATTTCTCACACTAGTTCTCCACACGCTCTCTCTGCCTTGTGATTATCCCCTCTCTGTTGCACCCTTCCCAACCGAACCGTCATGTTTCCGTCAAATCTCCAACCAGACTGCGGCAGCGGTTGCGCCATGCCACCATGACGGCTCAACACAATCTCACGCGGCAAGCACACAAGGAGGTGGGGCTGATATCATGAGTGGGGTGCGGTGGGGGAGGGGGGAAGGGGGATGGGTTAAGGGTTGCACGAGGGAGGGTGGGGGTTGGTAGCACGAGGGAGGGTGGGGGTTGGTAGCACGAGGGAGGGTGGGGGTTGGTAGCACGAGGGAGGGTGGGGGCTGGTAGCACGAGGGAGGGTGGGGGTTGGTAGCACGAGGGAGGGTGGGGGTTGGTAGCACGAGGGAGGGTGGGGGTTGGTAGCACGAGGGAGGGTGGGGGTTGGTAGCACGAGGGAGGGTGGGGGTTGGTAGCACGAGGGAGGGTGGGGGTTGGTAGCACGAGGGAGGGTGGGGGTTGGTAGCACGAGGGAGGGTGGGGGTTGGTAGCACGAGGGAGGGTGGGGGTTGGTAGCACGAGGGAGGGTGGGGGTTGGTAGCACGAGGGAGGGTGGGGGTTGGTAGCACGAGGGAGTCTGTACTCGTTTTGAGATAACGCCGCTTCATCCCGTTGGTCCTTTAAACGAATGGCTCATCTCATTGGAGGAGGCGGGTAGTGAAGGACAGCTGCCATGACAGCTCGTCATAACTCATGTGGCGATCAAATTAGTGCGTGGGGCAGGTATGGCAAAGATGGCGACACATAATGAACCCTCTGGCTGCGATACGTTTCCCTCTAGCAGAAAATGACCCCTAGTGGCACGTCAACCCTTCTTCTTCCCACGCTTTTCATTCTGCTTTCATGGAATGGTTGCCTGTGTGTGTGCACGCAAAATAATTTTATTTTGGGATCTGGGGGTGGATGAGAAGGCTGGCTGTGTGGTGGAGGCGTTTGTTGACATGTGAATTGGGCATGAGTGCATGTTTGGTTGGTTGTGACGTTTCGGTGCGCATGTGTCATCATATCCCCCTCTTGTCCATGTGCTGTTCATGTGCACATGTGGGAACAGAGAGACGAGCTGCTAGGGGCAGGACGAGAGGCATCGTTGCGGCGAAGAAAACTAGAGTGCGTACTATTCCCTCTCATGCTTCCTATTCCCTCTCATGCCTCCTATTCCCTCTCATGCTCAAATATATATACCATCTCATACCATCTCATACCCTCTCATACCCCCTCTCATACCATCTCATACCTTCTCATACTCTCCCATAATCTCTCGTACTCCGCCTGTCATACCCTCTCGTATTCTCTCCCATTTTCTCTGATCACCAGCATGCCTCACATGTGTGCGTCTGTGTCCTCCACACACCGATCTGGAAAATCACAGCAAGATGCATTCTTGTGTGCTCTGTCGTTCTTGCTTTCATGTTGCGTCCTTGTCCCGTGTGTGCTTGTATTGCATGTGCTTGTATCTCTTGTGCTTGTATCACATGTGCTTTTATCACATATTGAATCAGATCAGCAGCACAGATGGCAGCAGCAGCTGAGGAGGTCACTTCCACGCTCCGACGAACACGACACGTCATGGAACAGGTAAGATGATGACGTGGCAGGAACAGGTAGGATGGCGTCGTGGTGTGGCGGCAGGAACATGTGGGATGATGACGTGGCAGGAACAGGTGGGATGATGACATGGCAGGAACAGGTGGGATGCTGATGTGGCAGGACCAGGTGAGATGGTGTCGTGGCAGGAACAGGTGGGATGGAATGTTATGCGTGGATGGTAATGGGTGAGATAATGACTTAGCAGGAGCAGTGAGACGATGACGTGGCATGGAACAGTTAGTACGATGATGATGATGTGGCATGGATCGGTTGGGATGTCAAGGTAGAATTGTCTTCATCGGCTCCATTTTTCTCCACACCGCATTCTCTTCTTCACTGCACTCTTCATCGCATCGCATGGCATGGCATGGCATCTCATGGCATGGTATGGCATCTCATGGCATGGCATGGCTTGGCATGGCATGATATTGCAATCCATGGCATGGCAGGAGGTGCAACGTGGCGTGCACACATTGGAGGAACTCGGTGAGTTGATTCGGCTCTGGTATCAGCTCCTTTGGATGGGCACTGGTCACCCATCTACACACTGCATCGTGCATCCCTCTCCCTCCATTCTTCTGATGGCATCCCTCTCCCTCCATTCTTCTGATGTCATCCCTCTCCCTCCATTCTTCTGATGTCACTGCTTGTTTCAATGTGTTTCTGCCACGTCTCATCTGCCGTCTCTAGCTTTCACATCTGCTCCCTTCTCTCATGTGCCATCTCTTCTTTTGGAATAACCCTGTACACACTGTCTTTCTTCCTCTCCCTTGTTTTCAACCAAGCCACACGCGTTAGCCGCTGTGACCTTCTCACCACCACACAGCACCTCCCAGCCAGCACCACACAGCACCCCCTCCAATACTCCTGCCATCCATCCAACACCCCACCTTCCTCCCTTCTTTCCCTCCCTTCTTCTGGCCCCACCCACTGTCCAATGCAGACACGTCAGCAGCAGTGCTGACATCAGCAGGGTCGCAGTACTCCCTGCAGCACTCCCGCCTCTCCACGGCTCACCAGCTGCTGGCGCTGCTGCAGCGAGGGGACGTAACGGACAGGTGAGGTGGAGAGAAATAGGGAGAAGAGGCGTACAGTAGTATAGGGGAGAGCAGCGAGTGGGTTTGGGTGGTGCTTTGCACTGCTCCTTACAATGCTCCCGCCTCTCCACGGCTCACCAGCTGCTGGCGCTGCTGCAGCGAGGGGACGTGGCGGACAGGTGAGGGGGGGATGAGAGGGGAGGGGGGGTGGGTTACAGGGGGTTGAGAGTCGTGCAGAGGGGTATAGAGGAGAGTGGTGGGTGGGTGGCAGTACCCCTGCTCTCTTGCCCTTCCACGGCTTACCAGTTGCTGCCACTGCTGAGGCGAGGCAATGTGACGGACAGCTGAATGGGAGAGGCGTGGAGGAGGGGGATTGAACGTAGGAGTATAGTGGTATAGGGGTGAGAGGTGGGTGGGTTGGTGAGTGGGTAAGTGGGTAGGTTTGGGTGGGTGGGTTTTGGGTGGGCGGGTTTTGGTTGGGTGGGTTTGGGTTGGGTGGGTTTTGGTTGGGTGGGTTTTGGTTGGGTGGGTTTTGGTTGGGTAGGTTTGGGCTGGGTGGGTGGATGGGTTTGGGTGGGTCCCTCTTGCGTCTCCCGTCACTTTCATGCCTCTTCCATGTCCCTCTTGCCTCGTGTCCCTCTTGCCTCGTGTCCCTCTTGCCTCGTGTCCCTCTTGCCTCGTGTCCCTCTTGCCTCGTGTCCCTCTTGCCTTCTCTCGCCTCCACCCTCTCGCCTGTGTTGGCTCACCTCTACTGTGGTGACTCACCTCTACTGTGTTCCACCTCTACAGACTCATCGCTGCAATTGGTCTTCTTGTTTTTCTTGCCTACTCCTTCATCATACCCTCCTCCTTGTTTTTTGGTTTCCTTTCTCCCTGTGATGCATCCTCTCCTCTCTCTCCCTTTTTTCTGCCTCCACAAGAGCTGTCATCATTTTGGTGACTCTCTCCTTCTTTTCCGTCTGCCCTTTCAACTTCATCTCCCCCGTTCTTCAACTTCTCCTATATCCCCTCCTCCCCCCCCTCTACTCTCGTTCACCCGTTCTTGTCTGCTGCCCCCACCAGGCTCATCATCATCCTCGGGTCTCTCTTCTTCTTCCTCGTCTGCTCCTTCATCGTTGTCTCTCGCGTGCCTCTCCTGAACTCTATCCTCCTCTCCTCCACCTCCCTCCTCCTCTCCACCACACACTCCGTCCTCTCCCCCATACTCTCCCTCTTCTCATCCCTCCTCACCGCTCTCGCGTCCTCCACCCTCCCCACCCTCGCCTCTCTCTCCTCTTCCTCTCTCACCCTCGCATCGTCCTCTCTCTCCTCCCTCCACCACACACTCCAACCCCTCCTCTCGCCTCCCGTGCCTCCTCTCCCTCCTTCCGCACCTTCTCCCATGCCCTCACCCTTTCCCCCTTCCTCCCCCTCCCCACCCATCACGACCACCACTATTCGCTCCTCCTCGTCCCCCTCATCTTTCCCATCTCCTTCTCCCTCATCCGCCTCCTCTGTCCCTCCTTCAAACCCATCTCAACCGCACACGCCTTCTGAGGCGCCTCACCCACCAAGCGGCCCACAGCAACAACAACAGCCGGATGAAGAAATGGTTGCGTTGCCAACAGACTCGGTGTCACCCGGAATGGAGGATGGAAGCGGGCTTCGAGCAAGGGTAGGGGGGCACGCAGAGGGTGATGCAGAAGGGGATAGGCGTGGAGCAGGGGAGGGAGGGGGGGGTGGACAGGTTCAAGTAGAGGCAGGGCAAGCAGAGACAGGTGAAGCAGAGACAGTGCATGCAGCAAGAGGAGCAGCGAGCGAAGGGATGAGAGAAGGGGCAGGGGGAGAAGGATCAGCAGCGAGAAGGGTGCGGCGAGGGACAGCAGGGAAAGAGCCGATGGGGAAAGGGAAGATGGGTGGTAAGCAGAGGGCGGCTGCACGAGGGAAGGTGAGGGGTGGGGAAAGAGGAAAGCAAAGAGGGGGAGCAGGAGGAGCGGGGAGTGGAGGAGAACGAGGAGGTAAAGAGTCAAAAGTGGGAGTAGTAGCAGGAGCAGGAGCAAGGGAAGAGCGAGGAGCCAGAGGAAGTGGAGAGAAGGACGCAGGAGGTAACACAAGAGTAGGAGGAGGAGAGGATGGATTGGCAGGTGCAGGTGAATCTAGTGAGGGCAGTGCATCCGTCACAGCCGGTGGTGAATCAGCCATTGGTCGCCAAGTCCCCATGCCTGAAGCACCTCCTCTTGCTCATCCGCCTCCCCCTGCCACCCACCGTGCTGCCTACTACGGGTCTCCTGATGTTGGAGATTCACCTGCTGGGAATTCACCTGCTGGGGATTCACCTGCTGGGGATTCACCTGCTGGGGATTCACCTGCTGGGGATTCACCTGCTGGGGATTCACCTGCTGGGGATTCACCTGCTGGGGATACACCTGCTGGGGATTCACCTGCTGGGGATTCACCTGCTGGGGATTCACCTGCTGGGGATTCACCTGCTGGGGATTCACCTGCTGGGGATTCACCTGCTGGGGATTCACCTGCTGGGGATTCACCTGCTGGGGATTCACCTGCTGGGAATTCACCTACTGGGGATTCACCTGCTGGGGATTCACCTGCTGGGGATTCACCTGCTGGGGATTCACCTGCTGGGGATTCACCTGCTGGGGATTCTCCTGCTGCTGCGCCTGTGAGTGGTGGAGGAAGGGAGGAGACTGCAGAGGGTGGGGGAAGGGAGAGGGCGAATGGGGGATTGGATGGAGAGGGTGGGAGTGAGGAGGAGGGCAGAGAGGGAGTGGGCAGAGAGGAGGGCGAGCAGGGCACATGTGGGTTGGCAGGTGGCAGTGGCACGTGTGATGCACACTCTGAATCTGCTGCAGCCTTTCAAGGTGATGCTCCCAGTGCTTCTGCTGCTGCTGCTGCTGATGCTGCTGCTCCGGTTGTTGCTGCTGCTGCTGATGCTGCTGCCGCGGCTGTTGCTGACGATTCTGCTGTGGCGGCTGCTGTGGATGATGCTACTGACACTGCCAGCGCTGATGCTGATATCGTCCACACTCATGCTCCTCCTGCTCATGCCACCACCACTGCTGCTGCTCATGCCACCACCACTGCTGCTGCTGGACTAGTGTGAAGGGGGGCCGACAGTGGGGTGGGGGAGGAGTGGGGTGGCTTGAGGCGAGCACGTGAGCACAGGGCGGATGCGGAGGGTTAGAGGTGTGTGGGGGTTGGAGATTCGTGCTGTGGAGGCAGGTCGGGTGGTAGCAGGCTCAGGCGGGTGGTCGGATGGTAGGGGGTGCAGGTGGGGATGTGGGTGGTGAGGTGAATCAAGTCGCTAGCATGCAGCTGTTGGGGGTTTCTGAGACACAGGAAGCTAAGGGTAAGCAAGGAGGAAGGGTAGGCAAGGAGGAAGGGTAGGCAGGGAGAGCGGAGCGGAGCAAGGTTGGCCGCACGGAGTGGATGGGCGAGGGGACTAAAGAGGTGGAGGGAGTGAGGAGTGAGGAGGGAGGTAGGAAAGGGTGAGCAAGTATCAGTCACCGTAACAGAGGGAAAGAGGATGGAAGGGTGTGAGGAAGGAGTGGTGCTTGTGAGGCCAGGTCGGCTGCTTGTGAGGCCAGGTCGGCTGCGATGGCCGCAGTAGCCTTTGTGAGGTGTGGCTCGCACAATTGGCAGCAGCAGGGAACGCTTGCATTGCATGCAGATACCCTCTACGACTGTTTTCACGCCTGTCGAATTCCTCCTACCGGTATATATGATCATCATGGCTGCACACACGTGTGTGGTTTGTTCAGTTCGCATTCTGGTCAGGGCTGACGTTTCAATCACGGTATTAGGCAGTCTATTATCACCCCCAAGGCACTTCGGCCAGAAAGCAGGCACTCTGATGGGAGAGCGTTCTCAAGTCAGAATGTCTGACTGACCAGACCAGTCAGTGTCCGTCCGCAGGTTGGGTTCGCATCAGGCATACGGTAGACCTCGTGCATCACCGCCGCCCAGCCCATGTCGGCGGCATTTGGGCAGGTGTGATACGGATGAGGATAGAGTTGGAGAACATTGAATATGCATGTTACAATATGTGACCAGTACATGCATTATTATTGCCTTGAACTTTCCCCACCACCTCCTCCCTCCACCAACTACACCACATAAAACATCAATCACAAACATTATTCAAGATAGGACCTTGGCCTAGTCTAAATGACCTTGGCGAGCTGGCACTCGGTGGTGTTGGTCATGGAGTAGCTATTGCCGTTGCCGAAGCGCAGCTCCTGCACACAGGGCCGGAAGTCCCACGTATGTGCATACACAATGTTCACCGTCTCCCCGGGAAGCATCTGCAACTTGCCGCTCGCACCACGGTTCATGCGCATCTCACAGTACCCCGGCAGCGTCTGCACAAAGATTTCGCCTTGCTGGTATTGCGTGGGGTTGGGTGCGGGGTTGTCGAGGACGCCCTCCCAAATGTTGTAGAAGTTGAAGCACTGCCACACGCGCAGCGGGCTGGTGACGTTGTAGGCGCAGCCGTTGTAGAAGGTCATGTTGTAGATGTCGTTGTGCAGGTCGTACGGCCCCAGGTACTGCGAGCGGATCGTCACCGTCGTGCGCCCACACGCTGCCAGGAGTAGAAGCCCAAGGGGGTGTGGGGGGGATGGGGGGGGGTGGGGGGAGGAGGAGTAGGGGGGTGAAAGGAGCAGGGAAACGAGTGTTGAGGTGAGCAGGGAAACGAGCGTTGAGGTGAGCAGGGAAACGAGTGTTGAGGGGAGTAGGGAAATAAGTGTTGAGGGGAGCAGGGAAAGGAGAGGCGAGGGGAGCAAGAGAGGTGAGGGGAGCAGGGAAATAGGTGTTGAGGGGAGCAGAGAACCGAGTGTTGATTGGACCAGGGAAATGAGCGTTGAGGGGAGCAGGGACATGAGTGTTAAAGGGAGAAATGAAGGAGCAGATTGTGATTATATCATTACTGACATGCATCCCCAAGTTGCATTGTACAAGAGAAGCAAATGAGAGAAATGAGACATGGAGAGCAATGAAGGAAGCAGGGGAGGGAGTAGCAGCGCGTACTGGTGGCGAGGGCCTGGCGGCGGGGGATGTGGTCGAGGTAGTCGGGCAGAGGGGTGTGGTGAGCAAAGGTCTCAGCCGCCAGAATGCGCGCGCCCTTCCTCTGCTGCCCCGCCGCCGCCCCGCCAGCCACCCCAGCGCCCCCACCGTCCGTGGGGACCAGGCCCCTGGCTACCTTCATCGCGTCCCGCGCTCCACTCACCGCCGCCGCCAGCAGCCCCACTGCCAGCGCTGCCAGCACCAGCACGCGCATCCCAGCCGTCGCCATCAGGGTTTACACGGTAGTTGCTTCTGAGCTGACTCAAAATTCGGCTGGGAAGAGGTGAATCGCTTGCACAGGAACTGGAGAGAGCTGGAAGGCTGCTGCACAGGCTGCTGCGAGCGGGTGCTTGAGGAAGGGATTGAAGGGAGAGGCGGATTGGAGATGATGAATCCATGGCTGCTCATGGCGCCGGCTTTATAGGCGGAGGTGAGAGGCGCTTCGGTGAGGAGGTGGTTAAGAACAAAGGTCTCGTTGAGTGGGTGAAGTGGAGGCAAGGCTGCTGGAAGCGACCCGATCATCGGAGGAGGCGAGGCGTCGGCGGGTCGCGAGGCGACGAATCAGGCGTGGAAACGTGGAACCGTTCCGAATGCCGTTTTCGTCGATGTGCCGATGACTCTGACGCTGAGTCATCGCCGAGACGAGACGACGACTCCCATTGTCCGCATGACTACTACTAGCAGTCGCGATGTTAGCGCGGTTCATGCGACTTGCGCGACAAGCCAAGCGTCGCAGAAAAGCACTGAGTCGGGAGGTAACACCGCGACACTCGGATATCTCTCGAGCGGCTCGATGTGCCGACATGACGTAATCCATGAAACGAGATTCGCGACTGCTGGTGGTTAAATAACGACAGCGCTAACCACCACAAAAATCAACGTTCCATCGAACCCCTGGTTCCTAACTCCTCCTCATGTCTCTGTGAGGAATCCTCGTCCCGGTACCAAAATTTCCAGCCAAGTATCTGAGAAACGGAGCTGCAAACGACATTCCTCGTGACTATCGACACGCAGCAGCCGCGTCGCGCCCAACACCAGCGTTTGAAACCAGAGAGCCACCCGACAAACTACAAGCCAGTACGGCGAATCGCAGCAGGCAAGAGCTTGTCGGTATTACCTGGTTGTCGCGGATGCTCACGAAAACGGTTATTGCATCCCACCCGCGCATACGAAGACTGGAGAAGCTTCGCGAAATAGCTTTGTAACGTTGCCAGCCTATGTTTAGGGGAACCTGGCATATATACAAGGGATAATGAAATGGGGCCCAAAAACGCGTATCTTAACCATTTCAAACCGTTTTCGCTAGCTACGCACTACCGAGGTTGAAGTCGAAAGGGCGGAAGCAATGCGAAGGGTCGTACAGTTACGAAAGCATCTAGACCGTCGGGCAGACAGCATCAGGCAGCAGCAGTGGCGAGGATTCTGCCCGAACAGTTTCGTAACCACCTGGAGTCGCATGGTTGGATTTCGCTGTAATAAGGGAATGTACCCCTTAGAGTACATGGCTAGCTAGGTCGATTCGAATTCCTCTGTACTTCTAATTATATTCCTTGTACTTGCATGTTTTAATTATCTCAAGCATTTACATTCACTCTCCTATTGATGTCAAGGGCCCACCACCACTAAATCAGTAGTGTGCGAACCTTCTTGAGGTGATCCTGAGTTCGATCAACATCTGATCGCAGCATGGTACGAGAGCAACTCGGGAATCCTTCGCACTGCCACCTCCGAAACTCTCGGCGAACAGAAAGTGGCGTCCGGCACACGCTCGCATGTGAGAATAGCCGGAGGATCTGGATGTTAGACGAATCTGACGGCTGAAGCGCAGCCCAACCCGGCTGCGACAAGCGAGGAAACGACGACGATCCCTTCCGCCGTCCTCGCACAACTGCTTCAGCGACTCACAAGTCTGGAGCAAGGGCTCCAAACATTGCGGAATGGCAACGCGGGAACATCCTCCCAACCCACTCAACCGGCCTCGAATGGCCAAAACTCCGCCCCGCACACCTTCTCTCTCGACACAAATGCTCAACACCCAAGTTTCCCTGTCCCGGCAATGAAGCAATTCTCTCTGCGCAATCAAGGTTTTTGAGCATATCAATAATAAAGACAAGTGTGTGCTTTGACGGCAGAGACTTCTATATTTGGAGCTTCGAACTGGAGCTGCTGCTGCAAAACGCGCAGATTTTTCACTACTTCGACGGGAGCTACTCGAGACCTGCGGAGGACACTGACGACGCAACTAAGTACTACAACGAGTCCCTGATGGCGTACGGGGTTCTTCTGCGAAAAATGTCGCCGACGGAGCAATTGAGCATTCGCTCATACAAAACTTCGCCCGCTCCAGCCCTCAACGCTTGGCGCCACCTGAACAGTGTGTATCAACCAAAGGACCCGGTGTCGTCGAGCCACCTGCTCGAGCATCTACTGGAGACCAAAATGGCACCAGGAGAGAAGGCCAACAGCTACTTGAATCGCTGTCGGAGCATACGCGATCAAATCGCGAAACTGGGGAGCACAATCCATGAGGAGATATTTGTAAACATTGTGCTCCAAGGGCTCAGCCCAGAGTGGCGGCCCTGCAAGGCGCTTCTCCGACAGCGTGTTGTAGCGCCTGTTGTCGTTAAGTGCGAGCAGCGCCAGTTGCGGAGTAACGATGTGAGGTGAGTCGAACTTGAGAAATTGCTCGCACGAGATCCAGTTGATCAGAGCCGCCCGCGTATCAAGTACATGCTGGGGGTTTTCAAGCAGCGGGACTGAGAGATTCCAGTCCTGTTTGTCGTCGTCGCTGAAATCGTGGTGCGTGCTGAATGGATTGTTGTTCGAGAACGCGGCCGGTTGAGAGGGTTGGGAAGAAGTTCCCGCGTCGCCATTCTGCAATGTTTGGAGTCCTTTCTCCAGGCTGGTGAGTCGCTGAAGCAGTTGTGCGAGGACGGCGGTTCCAATCGTCGTCGTTTCTTTGCTCATCGCAGCCGTGTTGGGCTGCGCTTCAGCCGTCAGATTCCTTTGACCAATCCTCCGGCCATTCTCACACGCGAGCGTGTGCCGGATGCCAATTTCCGATCGTCGAAGACTTCGGAGGTGGCAGTGCGAAGGATTCCCGAGTCGCTCTCATACCATGCTATGATCAGAAGTTGATCGTTCCTAGGATCACCTCAGGAAGGTTCGCACACGTCTGAATAGTGGTGGGCCCTTGACCTCAAGGTGGAGTGAATGTAAAATGCTTGAGATGATGAAAACATGCAGATGCAGAAATATAAATAAGAGTACAAGGGAATACGAATCGACATAGGCTAGCCATGTACTCTAAGGGGTGCATTCCCTTATTGCAGCAAAACTCAACCGTGTGACTCCAGACGGTTACTAAATGCCTGGGCGGAATCCTCGCCACTGCTGCAGCTTGATGTTGTCTACGTGACCGTCCAGATCCTTTCGTAACCGTACGACCCTTCTCGTCACTTTTGTCTTTTTCTCTTCAGCCTCGGTAGTGCGTGTTTTTCAATTGTTGCGGTAAGGAGTGCACAGCAATGCTTCATCTTTTGCTATTCGTAACAGCGGGAACCTCCTCGCAACCCCATCAACCTGCTCAACCGGCCACAAACGGCCGCAAAACTGCCTCGCATACCTTCTCCCTCGACACAAACGATTCAACGCCAAAAGCCCCCTATCCAAGTGATGAAGCAATCAACTCTGCGCAAGTACATTTTCTCAACGTTTTGAAAATCAAGGCAAGTACCGCATTTGACGGGAAGGTTTTCTACATTTGGAGTTTTGAGCTAGAACCCCTCCTTCAAACAGGGCTGATTTACCATTACTTCGACGGCTCTTATTCTAAACCGGTGAACGACACCGAAGTCGCCCGGGCTACTACAGCGAGTCACTGATAGCGTATAGTGTGCTGCTAAGAATCATGACGCCTGCAGAGCAACTCAACATCCGCTCTTTCAATGAGAGCGCTGCTCCAGCACTGGAAGCCTGAAAGCACCCCATCGAGGTATATCACTCGAATGACTCAATGGACTCAATCACCTGCAGCAGGCTCCTGTAGCAGCTCATGGAGACCAAGATGGGGCACAGGGAGAAAGTGAATTCATATATTAATCGCTGTCGGAACATTCGTTATCAAATCACGAATCACGTGAGCGCGATCTTTGATGAAATCTTTGTCAACGTTGTACTCACCGGATTCAGGCCTGAGTGGAAACCATGCTAGGCGCTACTACGACAGAGGATGACAATCTCAAATGCCGCCCTATGCGCCGCTCTCCTCGCTGAAAAACAGGACATGGACTCAAGCAAGACAAGCCCAGCGCCACGACGAGAGCGCCTCGCCTTCGACGCTGACAATCGTGAAGAGCGACAACAACCACGGCGCCATTATTGCAAATTTTGCAAAGTCTTCGAACATTCAACGAACCGATTCAAGTTCCGGTCCAACAGTCACCACCCAAATTCCACTCAACATAACAACTGGTTAGGCTAACAAGACGTCCGTCAGTTTCAATCTCAATCTCAAGCTCTCCGTCCGCCTGCACAACATCAACAACAGCAATCCCAAGCACCTCAGACATGAGGAGCAATTTAGTCATCCACGAGCAACTACGCCTGACGGAGATTAGGAGCCTGCCGACGTGTTAATTCAACCTGAGGTGGACTACAATAATCCCTTCACCGACAGATATTACTACTACGAAGATGAGGATCAGCAAGACTGGACTCTATCAATCCAGCTGAGAGAAAGCCCACCTCACCACCATGATGAGCGACCGGTTCCCCTGGGATGGCGAGAGCAAGAAGATTTCCTTACTGTGGACACAGCAACCATCGTCACGCCGCGACTTGCATTGCTTCTACACGGCAACAACACTGCTCACAACAATTGGTACTTGGACAACTACTGTCAACAACATATGGTGGGATCACTGTGCTACATCTCCAACGTCAGCAACGCCACCCTCACTGCCACTTACGTCACCGTCGCCAACAATAACTAGTTGCGGCGCAATCGCACTGTGCATTGTCGTACAGCAACCACGTGACAACAACATACACATCACCTTCTGTTATGTGCTCTACGTGACGGTCCTGCGCTTCAATCTATTATCCGCAGAACAACTTTCTGACTGTGGAGTCACATTCACCACCGACCCTCTCACGCGCGACCTTGAACTACACTTTGCTCCTCTCGACATACCTGACGAAGAACGGAAATACCTCGTGCAAGCGCGCTCCATCAACGAAGTCTACGTGCTTGACTTTGATCTGCCCGACTGCAGAGTTACTTCGGACGAGCTTGTGGACCTCATTCCCGTGGACTTCACCTACAAACTAGAAAACTTGTGAAAGCATCCTGACGGGAGACCGTGGGTCAGACGCAGCCCTCACCCTCGCGAGATCAATCTGCACCAACCTGAGCCTGATGGGCACTGCACCAGCTGCTTCACGCCCACGGCTAACTGCACCGAAGAAGTTGAGAGAGATCTGGCGGCAATTCAGGAAGCAGAAAGCGTCGCACCACCAACAAAAGGGATGATGGAGATGGAACTCGTGACCACCTCCTACCATGTCTTTGTTAGAAACTAGGGACGGAGTCTATGAAGATTATGGGTCTAAATATCACAAAATCGTTGGTCTCAATTTCTGGACAGAATCGTCGCGCTCACAAGAAACGTCGTCGACGAACAACGCACCGTCAAAACTTCACCAAACTCAGATATGTTGTAGCTCTACTCCGTGGCTACAATTCCCAAGTTGAATCGTATGAAAAGGTGAAGTGAAGGCCATGTGGCTACACCCTTTCCCTCTGGGTTCAAGTGTGTGAAGGGACCAGAGGAGGAGAGCGTTGGTGAAGAGGAGAGGCGCCGATTTCACTCGTTGGTGGGCAGCCTCATGTATGCGGCGGTAAACACCCGACCGGACGTCGCGTTTGCTACCGGGCAGCTGGCTAGGGTTGTGCAATGCCCTAATGAGGAGCAGGTAGCAGCTGGAATGAGGGTGGCCAAGTATCTTGGCCAAACACCGACCGTTGGGCTGCAATACTCGGCGGCGGCACAAAGGCGCCAAAAGGGCGCGGATGGTGTTGAACCCGGGCGTTTGTTCCTCACCGCCTACTCGGATGCTTCATATGCATCAGAACCAGAGGACATGACAAGTGTGGGAGGCTTCATATGCTGTGTTGGTGGAGGCCCAACTGCTTGGGAGAGCAAGAAGCAGGTTGACCAAGCTTTGAGCTCGGTGGAGTCCAAGTACATGGCACTCTTCCGTGCCGTACGGGAGATTGTGTGGCAGCGGCGTTTGTTGGCTGAATTGGGGGAGGAGCAGCAAGGACCTACCCCACTGTACTGTGACAGCCAGGGTGCCATTGCTCTTGCTAAGAACCCTGTGTTGCATGGACTCACGAAGCACATGAGGGTGAAGTGGCATTGGACGAGGAGCATGGTAACCGCGGGTGAAGTTGAGTTGCGCTACGTGAAGACCACGGGGCAGCCGGCTGACATGATGACCAAGAGGCTGGTGGAGCAGCAGCATTGGAAGTATTGCAAGCTGGCTGGGATGGCTCTGAACTGAGAGAGCAACATATCCTAAGGCCAACAATCCGAGGGGGAGTTTGTTGGTGCAACCCTACGGTTTGCATTCGGCTTGTTGTCCGTGTGCGTGAATGTGTGTGTGTATGGAATGGTATGAGGGCATGGGATAATATATATTTCATGCTTATAATTGTGTGTGAATGTTGAGTCATGATGTCGAGTGTGTGTGTCGAGTCAATAGCGAGTTATCGCTAGACGCGTGTTACGCGGTCGTTTGTGTCTCGCGCGCGGTTTCTATTTTGTCGTGCGCGGTTTCTATTTTGTCCTGTGTCGAACGTTCGGCGTGTCGCAGGTGTGTGCAGCAGACCCATCAAGAACTCAAGGATGAGTTTGTGATGAAGAGCCCGAGCCTTGGTGTCAAGCCTCAAGTGATTTCGAAGCTCGCCAAAAAGGGTACACCTCAAGATATTGAAGATAATTACATTACTTTGTGTAGTGTAACATTTCACTTGGTGTAGGCCCTAGTGAAGGGTAGTTTCGAGACCCTTCGTGGTTGGGGACAGTGTGGCACTATTCCACATCACTGTACCTCGGCTCTTGGGGTTTGTAGGAGCTGGGAGTCATTCCCAACTCGTAACTCTTCCTATCTTGTGTTCTAAGACTATCGTGGCTGCCATAGTACCGTTCGTTCAAACTGACGCTGTGTCGTCAATTCTCCATCAAATCGTGCAATCTAAATTGCTAATTGTAGACGACGTGAAGATGCTCCAGATCCAATTTGAATCAAGTCATTTGCAGCTGTGAGCAGAACGCTATCAACGTTTGAAGCCGCTGTGCAGAAATCCGTCTGTGCTCTCTATCTTTCGTTTTAGGCACATTCAAGCCTATTGTGACTATAACAGATTCACGTGCTGGGGATTCACCTGCTGGGGATTCACCAGCTGGGGTTTCACCTTCTGCGGGTTTGCTTGTTCGAGATCCGCTTGCTAGGGATTTTTCTGCTGGGGATCCAACTGCTGGGGATTCACCTGGTGGGGATATTTCTGCTGGGTATTCACCTGCTGCTGCGCATGTGAATGGGGGGATGGAGGGAGAGGTTGGGAGTGAGGAGGAGGGAAGAGAGGGAACGGGTAGAGAGGACGGCGAGTAGGGCACATGTGGTGTGGCAGGTGGCAGTGGCACGTGTGATGCTGACTCTGGATCTGCTGCAGCCTTCCAAGGTGATGCTGTCAGAGCTTCTGCTGCTTTAAAAAATGATGCTGCTGCTAATGCTGCTGCCGCGGCTGTTGCTGACGATTTTGCTGTGGCGGCTGCTGTTGATGATGCTACTGACACTGCCAGTGCTGATGCTGATGCGGTCCACACTCATTCTCCTCCTACTCATGCCACCACCACTGTTGCTGCTGATGCAACCACAACTGCTGGTGATGGCAATGGCGCTGGGGCCTAGTATGAAAAGGGGGCCGGCATTGGGGTCGGGTCGGTCACCATAACAGAGGGAAAGAGGATGGACGGGTCTGAGGAAGGAGTGGTGCTTGTGAGGCCAGGTCGGCTGCTTGTGAGGCCAGGTCGGCTGCTTGTGAGGCCAGGTCGGCTGCTTGTGAGGCCAGGTCGGCTGCTTGTGAGGCCAGGTCGGCTGCTTGTGAGGCCAGGTCGGCTGCGATGGTCGCAGTAGCCTTTTTGAGGCGAGGCGTGGCTCGGACAATCGACAGCAGCAGCGAATGCTTGCATTGCATGCAGATACCCTCTCCGGCTGTTTCATGCTTGTCCAATTCCTCCTACATGTGATCATCATGGCTGCAGACACGTGTGTGGTCATCATGGTTTGTCCAATTCAAATTCTAGTCAGGGCTGGCGTTTCATTTGCAGTAATGGGCACTCTGATTCCCAGCACTTTGGCCAGAAAACAGGGACTCTGATGGGTCAGTGTCGGTTGCCGGGTTCGCATCAGGCATACGGTAGTCCTCTCCTCGTGCATCACCGCTTTTCAGCCTATGTCGGTGGCATTCGGGTCCGGTTTGATATGGATGACGATAGAGTTGGATAAAACATTGATGATACATGTTATGTCACCAGTACATGCATTATTATTGCCTTACAACTTTCCCCACCACCTCCTCCTCCCTCCGCCAACTACACCACATAAAACAATAATCACAAGCATTATTCAGGTACAGTACGAGGGGCCGAGTCTAAATGACCTTGGCGAGCTGGCACTCGGTGGTGTTGGTCATGGAGTAGCTATTGCCGTTGCCGAAGCGCAGCTCCTGCACACAGGGCCGGAAGTCCCACGTATGTACATACACAATGTTCACCGTCTCCCCGGGAAGCATCTGCAACTTGCCGCTCGCACCACGGTTCATGCGCATCTCACAGTACCCCGGCAGCGTCTGCACAAAGATTTCGCCTTGCTGGTATTGCGTGGGGTTGGGTGCGGGGTTGTCAAGGACGCCCTCCCAAATGTTGTAGAAGTTGAAGCACTGTCACACGCGCAGCGGACTGGTGACGTTGTAGGCGCAGCCGTTGTAGAAGGTCATATTGTAGATGTCGTTGTGCAGGTCGTACGGCCCCAGGTACTGCGAGCGGATCGTCACCGTCGTGCGCCCGCATGCTGCAGAGTAGGTAGGGTTTGGGGGGAGGGGGGGGGGAGGGGAGAAAGGAACAGAATACAGTTGTCATTATGCATCCCCATGCTGTAGTTCACGGGAGAGGGGGAGCAGAGAAATGAGAGCCAAGGGGAGCACCGGAATGAGAGGTAAGGGGAGCAGAGAACTGAGAGCCAAAGTGAGCAGCGAAATGAGAGCAAAGGGGAGCAGAGAAATGAGAGCCATGGAAAGCAGAGAAATGGGAGCAAAGGGGGGCAAAGAAACGAGAGCCAAGGCGAGCAGAAATGAGAGGGAAGCGAGCAAAGATAAAGGAGACAAGGAGATAAGAGAAATGAGAGGCAAGGGGAGCAGAGAAATAAGAGGCAAGGAGAGCAGAGAAGTGAGAGGGAATCAGAGGCAAGGAGAACAGAGAAATGAGAGGCAAGGGGAGCAGGAACGCGCTGTGAGAAGAAAGGAACAGCAGCCTAAGGATCCAAGACAGGGAAGAGAGGGAGAGGAGGGAGTGGCAGCGCGTACTGGTGGCGAGGGCCTGGCGGCGGGGGATGTGGTCGAGGTAGTCGGGCAGAGGGGCGTGGTGAGCAAAGGTCTCAGCCGCCAGAATGCGCGCGCCCTTCCTCTGCTGCCCCGCCGCCGCCCCGCCAGCCACCCCACCGCCCCCACCGTCCGTGGGGACCAGGCCCCTGGCTACCTTCATCGCGTCCCGCGCTCCACTCACCGCCGCCGCCAGCAGCCCCACCGCCAGCGCTGCCAGCACCAGCACGCGCATCCCAGATGCTGCCATGAGGGCTTTCACAGTAGTTGCTACTGAGGTGACTCTGAATTCGAGTGGATGAGGTGACTGGCTTGCACAGGAGCTGGAGAGAGCTGGACGGATGCTGCACAGGTTGCTGCGAACGAGGGCTTGAGGAAGAGACTGAAGGGAGAAGCGGATTGGAGCTGATGAATCCATGGCTGCTCATGGCGCCGGCTTTATAGGCGGAGGTGAGAGGCGCTTTGGTGAGCAGGTGGTTAAGGATTAACGTCTCGACCATTGGAGGCAAAGCTGCTGGAAGCGACCGGATCAATCATTGGAGGAGGCGAGGCGTCGGCGGGACGCGAGGCGACGAATCAGGCGATGGAAAGGTGCATCGTAACCGTCGTCGTTGCAAATGCCGCTTTCGTCGCTGTGGCCATGACTCTGACTCTTGAGTCATCGCCGTCACGAGACGAATACTCCCATTGCCCGCGTGTCTAGTCGGTGCAGCGCGGTACATGCGACTTGCGCGACAAGCCAAGCGTCGCAGAAAAGCATTGAGTCGGAGGGTAACAACGGGACACACGATATCTCGAGCGGCTCGATCGGATGTATCCATGAAACGAGATTCGCGTTCGCTGGTGGTTAAAAAACGACAGCGCTAACTACCTCACAACTCAACGTACCCCCCCGTTCCTAAATTCTCATGTCTCCGCGAGAATTCCCCGTCCACGTACCAGGATTCCGCGCCATGTATCCGAAAATGGAGCTGCAGAGACGGTTAAAAGGAATTCCTCGTGTCTAACGACACGCAGCAGCCGTGTCGCGCCCAACACCATTGTTTGAAACCAGAGAACCTGTCTACCAGACAAACTACAAGCCAGTATGGCGAATCGCAGCAGGCAAGAGCTTGTCGGTATTACCTAGCAGTTGTCGCCTAACCACTAGACGCAAGAGGATTGACGAGGGAGAAACAGCCAGCCCGTGTCTTCTCAATCGTGGCTGGGGTTGGAAGTCCCTTGGTGTTCTGCGGATGCTCGCGGAGACGGTTATTGCAGCCCACCCGCATATGTGCGAAGACTGGAGAAGCTGCACGAAATAGCTTTGTAACCACGCCAAATAGGCGAACCTGGCAATCGTCCAGGGGAAAATGGGAATGGTAACGAAAATGGGGCCCAATGTTACTAGTAGTACAAAATTGTTATGACTTTGTAAAAGAGGAGTTCGCATAATGCAATATCGCGGAACTGATTACAACAACTGGGCAAAGAGTGGGACCTAGCACTCATATAGCGAGGTTAGCTAGGCTAAGTTCGCAGATGGATGGGTGCAGGTTTGGGGTTGAGCTGGGAAACCCGAAGACGACGAGAAGGTCGTTCAGAAGGCGAGGTCGTCGGACCGAGTCTGAACTCCGAAAGTTGGAGTTGTACGCGTATGGGATGCCTCAATAGTGAATTAGGCAAAATTCCTTGCACTACCCCCCCTCCCTCCCCCCCCCCCCCCCCCCTCACTCTCCCCCCTCCTTCCTCCCCCCCCCCCCCCCCCTTCCCTCCCCCCCCCCCCCCCCCCCCCCCACCCCCCCTTCCCTTCCCCCCCCCCCCTCCTCTCCCCCTCCCCCTCCCCCTCCCCCCTCTTAAAAAATGTGGTCGTTATTGTCAAACTCATATGCTATAGTCTGTGTAGGCTGTAGTGGGGTAAACAATATGGGGTACAACACTTTTAGGTTTTCCTACTTGTACCCACCTGCTTGCTAGTTCATTCATTCCTTGTTCTTTCACATGGTATTGAGCAGGTTCCCTAGTGGGAACGTTTCCTAGGGCCCACCGAAAATTCGATTTTTTTTTTCCTGCCCGGAGCGCACTTACCCCTGCCCGAGTCGCGCCCCGCGTCCCCTGCCCTTAGTGGCCCCTTAGCCGCTCCCTCGCGGCCCCTCTCATGGCCCCTCGCGGCCCCTTAGCCGCTCCCTAGCGCCCCCCCCCACTCACGGCCCCTCGCGGCCCCTCTCACGGCCCCTTGCGGCCCCTTAGCCGCTCCCTAGCGGCCCCCACTCACGGCCCCTCTCACGGCCCCTTGCGGCCCCTTAGCCGCTCCCTAGCGGCCCCTCTCACGGCCCCTCGCGGCCCCTCTATCACGGCCCCTCGCGGCCCCTTAGCCGCTCCCTCGCGGCCCCTCTCACAGCCCCTAGCGGCCCCTCTCACGGCCCCTCGCGGCCCCTCAGCGGCCGTTCGCGGCCCCTTGCGGCCCCTCATGCGTCCCCTCCGCGGCCGTTCGCGGCCCCTCGCGGCCCCTCCGCGGCCGTTCGCGGCCCCTCGCGGCCCCTCTCGCGGCCCCTCCGCGGCCGTTCACGGCCCCTCGCGGCCCCTCTCCCGGCCCCTCGCGGCCCCTCTCACGGCCCCTCGCGGCCCTGTCGCGGCCCCTCGCGGCCCCTCGTGGCTCGTCGCGGCCCCTCCGCGGCTCCCTCGCGGCCTCTCCGCGGCTCCCTCGCGGCCACGTTGCGGCTCCCTCGTCGCCCCTGCCCGCCGCGGCGCCCTGCCCTAACCCGCGCCCTGGAGCAGCCACCACTGCAGCAGCCGCCCCTGCAGCAGCCGCCCCTGCAGCAGCCGCCCCGGGAGCAGCCGCCACTGCAGCAGCCGCCCCTGGAGCAGCCACCCCTGCAGCAGCCGCCCCTGGAGCAGCCGCCACTGAAGCAGCCGCCCCTGGAGCAGCCGCCACTGCAGCAGCCGCCCCTGGAGCAGCCGCCACTGCAGCAGCCGCCCCTGGAGCAGCCGCCACTGCAGCAGCCGCCCCTGGAGCAGCCGCCACTGCAGCAGCCGCCCCTGGAGCAGCCGCCCCGGGAGCAGCCGCCACTACAGCAGCCGCCCCTGGAGCAGCCGCCACTGCAGCAGCCGCCCCTGGAGCAGCCGCCCCTGCAGCAGTCGCCCCAGGAGCAGCCGCCACTGCAGCAGCCGCCCCTGGAGCAGTCACCCCTTCAACTGCCGCCCCTGGAGCAGCCGCCCCTGCAGCAGCCGCGGAGCCCTCGCCCTGCAAGTGGTAGCCGCCTCGCCATTGCCGCAATCGTACGCCTGCCCTCCTAGCCACTGGTGAGCACTGCCCTGCCCGTACTGCTGTTACTGATGCTCTTGCTGCTACTGCTCTTTCTACTGCTACTGCTGCTCCAGGCGTGGCCAAATGCAGCTCCAGCGCCGTCCACGTGAGTCCCTCGCCCCCCAACAGCTTCGTGAGTGGTACGCTAGTTGGGGTTGTAGGGGTGGCCGCGCTGTGACTACTGCTACTGCTTCTACTGCTGCTACTGCTGCTACTGCAGCTACCACTGCTCCTCCTGCTCCTGGCTGTGGCCAGATGCAGCTCCAGCGACGTCCGCGTGAGTCCCTCACGCCCCAGCAGCTTCGTGAGTGGTACGCTACTTGGGGTTGTCGGGGTGGCCGTAGTGGGAGTCGTTCTTGTTGGTGCAACCCTACGGTTTGCACTCGGCTTGTTGTCCGTGTGCGTGAATGTGTGTGTGTATGGAATGGTATGAGGGCATGGGATAATATATATTTCATGCTTATAATTGTGTGTGAATGTTGAGTCATGATGTCGAGTGTGTGTGTCGAGTCAATAGCGAGTTATCGCTAGACGCGTGTTACGCGGTCGTTTGTGTCTCGCGCGCGGTTTCTACTTTGTCGTGCGCGGTTTCTATTTTGTCCTGTGTCGAACGTTCGGCGTGTCGCAGGTGTGTGCAGCAGACCCATCAAGAACTCAAGGATGAGTTTGTGATGAAGAGCCCGAGCCTTGGTGTCAAGCCTCAAGTGATTTCGAAGCTTGCCAAAAGGGTACACCTCAAGATATTGAAGATAGTTACATTACTTTGTGTAGTGTAACATTTCACTTGGTGTAGGCCCTAGTGAAGGGTAGTTTCGAGACCCTTCGTGGTTGGGGACAGAGTGGCACTGTTCCACATCACTGTACCTCGGCTCTTGGGGTTTGTAGGAGCTGGGAGTCATTCCCAACTCGTAACTCTTCCTATCTTGTGTTCTAAGACTATAGTGGCTGCCATAGTACCGTTCGTTCAAACCGACGCTGTGTCGTCAATTCTTTATCAAATCGTCCAATCTAAATTGCTAATTCTAGAAGACGTGAAGACGCTCCAGATCCAATTTGAATCAAGTCATTTGCAGCTGTGAGCAGAACGCTATCAACGTTTGAAGCCGCTGTGCAGAAATCCGTCTGTGCTCTCTATCTTTCGTTTTAGGCACATTCAAGCCTATTGTGACTATAACAAGTGGTATCAGAGCCCCTTGGAGCAGTTTCGACAATGTCTGGACCTGAGGAAAGGGGTGGCAGAGGTGCTGGTGGCAGTGGAGAAGCTCAAGCTCAAGGCCAACCCCGTGATTCAGCCATGGCGCCCATGCAACCAAGTCTTGGCCCACCTAGGGATGAGCCTAGGGTGTTTGGGCTTGACAAGTTCAACGGTGACAACTTTGCTGAATGGTCCTTCAAGATGGAGAACATCTTTGACCACTATGACCTGCTGGAGGTGATGGAAGGAACAGAGAAGCGCCCCGAGAACGACCCGGAGAAGAGCCCGTGGGTGCGGAAGAGCGCACAAGGCTATCTCTTACTTGGGCAAGCGTTGGGGAGCAGTCAGATCCGTCACATCAAGCCATTCCAGCGTGAACCAGAGAAAGGACCAAAGGCATGGGCTGCTCTCAAGGGTGTACATGCTCCTGCAACAGCGGCAGTAGCGGTGGTGTTGGAACGGCAAATGGCGGCACTACGAATTGAAGAAGACGAAGCGGTTGAAGAAGGGGTGCAGAAATTCTTCGACTTGTTGACGCGGCTTGAGGGAGCTGATTTGAACTACAGTGAGCTCCAAAAGAAGACCAAGTTGCTGGCCTTACTCCCAGAGTCATGGTCCTCGCTCATCATCAACCTTAATCGCGACTTGCCCCGCCTCTCGCTTGAAGACGTGAAGCGAGCTATCCTTCAAGAGGATTTCCGCCGCCATGAGTTGGCGAGTGCGGATGGCGCTGGGGCAGCGAGCATCGGCCGTGGATATGGTCGAGGAA